TTGACATAATTCCCAGCATAGCACACTGTTTGGCGTATGCCCAGTTCATATAGTCATTTAAGATATTCTGTAATTTTAGTTTGACGATGTCTATTCATGGCAACATTTTCTAATTTTGGAGGGAATTCATTATGATGAATGATGTTAATCTATAATGATAATAAACAATGGAGTGTTTACTGAGTTGACATTGTTACAATAACAACTGATTGTTTACATCTAGTTTAACAGTATTACATGGTCTACAAGTTCAAGACAAGTTCAATATTTATATTATACAATATATTTGCTAAGTTATCAGTAATCATTACACAGCATAATATTGTAGCTACCATATCCCAAATCTTGAAAACAATTTAACACCCTATATTTATGGTTAACTGTGGCATGTGGTGATTAAGAGCTGTTCAGATAAGCACACCGTACCTTGTGCACAATACCTTAACTACTTGTAGCTATAGTGATGCCAAAAAAGAAATTATGAATACTGGTACATGTGGTACCTTAAAGATACATTATATAAGATTTAGATAAAGAGCTAGCCATTCTTTGTATAATAGTTTGAAAATAGATAATGCGAAATGAATAATTTGAAAATTTCATTTAAATTACTCTATTCCGAGGGAAGATATTAGCCTTTGAAGGTATGACAAGACGTGTGCTATAATTTCAATCACCGTACTGGTTGTTCGAAGCTAAGTCTCGCTCACGTTCTAATCTATTTAATATCGGAGACATCCGATGCCATCAAGAGTTGATTATGGCCTGGATCAGTTAATTAATGTCTAATTAATAATTTAGAAAACATTTCAGGCCTAAAGAAAGACCTGCAATAGGCAGATTTAGCGCTTGCATAATTTATGTTTAAGGAATCTGTATTTTGTAAATGAATAATAAAGTGTGCAGTTAAATTTGACACCCTTGGTATCATATGATTACTGTACTCTATAACAGTTTCTGTAAGAACAAAAACTAGGGTATGTTGAAATATAGTGTGTAGGGTGTAACTTTCACAGCAAAAAAATTCTTTGTTTTATGTTGCAATTATGCTGTGACTTCAAACATTGATATAGATTATACTAGAGTAGACCTACTTTATTCTAAATATCACTCTCACATTGCTGGAGTCATTTTCTGCACTATTTTGCCAGTTTAGTTCATTTGATTATTGATTGCATTGGTGTTTCACTTAACCCCAAGCACTTCTGTGATCAGTTGTGATACCGGTAGACGATTTCAAAAGATTTGTTTGTCAACGATCGAAACACAATCACAATTTTCATCTGATTTTACAGAAAATTGAAATGCATGTTTATAACCCAAAGATCTCGGTTCCTTTGGATATTCACGGTTATCGGACCGTATCTGCCTGGATTATGGCCCCTGATTGTATAAAAATCACATTATTTTTTTTAGCTCGTTCCCTGTCCATCTCTTGCAAAATAATGTAGGCGTATCTTGGATGGCAACCGCTTGTTTTATTGCATCAACATTACATTTTAAAATCTTATACAAAAGGCTTAGACAAAAGTTATAACAACTTTATGGGATTTTGCTGGTAAAAAGAACAACTCCCCCCCCCCCACCCCAAGCTTTTCACTTGACATGATTTAACTGTACAGGTACAATGTACCTCCTGGGATGTGCAAACTTTGCTTGGGACAGCAGAAGGGTTTGCTTAGAAAATGAATGAAATTCACCTTATAACTGATAATGTAACAGTGGTAGCATAAATAGCAATAGGTGGATATTACAGGGAGTGTATTAATATATTATGTTCAAAAGAAGTGAAGTGGGGGTGGAAGTGGGCATTTATTTGATGCGGTGTATATTGGAATCAGTAATTTATTCATTAGCCCAGTGAGGAATATAAAGTTTTTTTAAGAACTTTATTTATGTAAATTAAAACAAATGGAGTGGTGTGGGTAGTAAAGCTGTCCACAATACATATAAAGGATACAGTTATTTGTCTTTGAAACATATCTGTATACAACTTAAATGCGGGGGGGGGTGGGTATATTATACATTTTATATAGCTACTGTGTATAAGTTGAATAAAGGAGTGTATATTATTATACATTTTATATAGCTACTGTGTATAAGTTGAATGAACATGCATATGCTTTATATTTTATGTAGCTATTCTGTATAAGTTGAAAGAAGTATATTATACATTTTATATAGCTTCTGTGTATAAATTGAATAAGGAGTGTATATTATTTATTATTATATACATTTTGTATAGCTACTGTATAAGTTGAATGAATATGTGTATATATTATCATTTTATATAGCTACTGTGTATAAGTTGAATGAACATGTGTATATTAGGGGTGTATATTTTATATAGCTACTGTATGAAAGAGTGAGTGTACATTATATTATATATTTTATGTAGCTACTGTGTATAAGTGTAAAACAGAGAGTGATATATGGGTGGACTGTTTAGTAACGGAACCTGAGTGTGAATCATCTGAAACTAATATGTTTAATTTTAGTACAACACTTGAGATATATATATATATAACATTACAAGTGTTCTTTTATTCATATCCTATCGTACACACACATATATAAACCACAAAAAACAGACTGAATTAAAAGCTAAGAGTCCTAGATGGGACATTGGAAGAATGAGGGAGGGGGTGATAAAATGATCCCAGTTCCCAGCCCTCCCCTTCCCGATCATGTATGACACTACACATACTTAAAACATAGATATGACGTCACCCTTTGATGTTTTTAACCATTATATAGGAGAATGTACGCTTTTCTTAAACAATCGTCTATTATTTATAAAACTGTCCATTATTTTCAATAAATAATGGACAGTTAAAATAATGGACAGTTTTATAAATAATAGACGATTGTTTAAGAAAATACCAATAATGGACACGTATCTGAAAAATGAACATGTATTTTTTGGGATAATTTATTCTCTGAACAAATTAAATTACAGAAAATGAAATTACTTTAAAACCTAATAGTTACCGAAATGTCACATGACCGAATGTTGATTTCACGTGTTTGTCTACATAAAGAATTCCACTTAAATCCATCCGTTATATGTCACTTATCCGTTTAATAGTACGTTCGGCACTAGATCGATGATATGTTTCTATACACCCACATTTTCACAACTTGAAATATAGGTATATATCCCACGTGTTTGTCTACATAAAGAATTCCACTTAAATCCATCCGTTATATGTCACTTATCCGTTTAATAGTACGTTCGGCACTAGATCGATGATATGTTTCTATACACCCACATTTTCACAACTTGAAATATAGGTATATATCCCAAACATCTCGGTTCCTTTTGATATTGGCTTGTATGGGACCGTAACTTCATGGATTATGGCCCCTGACTGTACACACTAGAGGTCACAATTATTAGCCCATTTTGATGAAACTGAACATGTGTATTTATAACCCAAAGATCTCGATTCCTTGCAATATTGGCGCATATCGGACCGTAACTTCCTGGATTATGGTCCCGGATTGAACAAAAAAAGTGTTTTGAGCTTATCTGATTATAAAAAAAACGTTCAAATATATCACCGTTACACCATAATGACAGTTGAGTTTGAATTTCGTGAATTGGTTTGTGCCTTTGATCCTGTGTCCTGTCACTTATATCAGAGTATATATTAAATTTTAAATCAAAATTGGGACGGCTAGTACCCTCCATATTAACCACAGTATTAAGAAAATTATCAATATCTAAATCATTCTCGTGAGCAGCCTTTCCATCACAACTTTGACGGCTATTATCCCCCATATCAAGAACATCACAATTTTTACGGCTATTATCTTCCATATCGAGTACATTACCAATGTAATCAGTATCCAAATGCTTATCACATATATTCTCATTATTAATATTTGTTTTCGACTGTGTTGTAAACATGTGGTCTAGATGTAGAATATTTTGGACTGTCTGTGTATGCTTGAATTGTATGACTGGAGTGTTTTGTCACATGCATTCATGAGCATGTGCATGTTGTTTTAAGAATATATCCATTATTTTATGGCTTGTTTTAGAAAACTATCCATTATTTGTATCTCTATGGTGCTATGTTTTAAGTTTGATAATAGCCTCAGACTGTCCATTATGTAAATACAAAGAAAAACTTCGGGGCTAACGCCCCTCAGTTGTTCTTTCTATTTACATAATGGACAGTCTTCGGCCATTATCCATCACTTAAAGATATGAACACACGATACAATTTCAAGAATGAACAGTTACTGAATTTGATTCTATGTAACCATTCACTGAAGATACTTTCGTCTTTATCAAGCAAATTAATATCCATGATGATGCATTTCATTGTAATAAATTCATATATATATTCACCATATACTAATGGAAACTATTGAATGAATATTATGTGATTTTTGTTTTACTACAAGACTTATTCTATGATATGCAGGGGTTTTGGTCTCTCATAATAGTTCTGTCAATAGTCATCAGAATTTGTAAATATTTAATAAGACATGTCTGTATAATGTAATAATAAACCCCGAAGATTCATTTCAATCAATAACTTAATGCAGATTTATATGTTGCAGTATAAAGGTATAACATAGCCTATGTCCTATTTTTGAATGGGTACTCTCAGTAAATATTTGTATGGAATTCAATCCTTTATTCTATGAATAGCTTCAGTTTCAAGAGTTGCTCCCAATATCTAAATTTACCTAATTAAATGCTCAGGAAGTGTGTTTTTCCTTGTTGATCTACCAAATTTGCGGTAATCTTATTATAACTGTTCTCTTCCTATAGTACAATAAGAACCCTCCCAAATGCTTGTTTTTCATGAAACTATAATGAGTGTAGTGAGTCTTCATTTTGAGTTTTATACATGCACTAACACTACCATTTTATGGTTTGTTATAATTTTTGTTTAGTAGATACTCTGCTACATGGATGCTTTCTTTAAGTGTACATGTATCAGCCTATTAATTATTCATGTTCCTGTTTGTCATTTTTCCAGGAATAAAATGGTTTATATAAACAGACAGTTCCTTGTATGTTCAAGTTGACAACATTTCGATGGTAAGTATAGGCATGTGGATTGGGCTGAGCTTAGTAGGCTTCTTGGATGTCAGGTCAAGACTTAAAAAAAAAAAAATAATAATCCCTGATTTGATGATCATCAGCAGATTTTTAACTGATCATGCACAAGCCATGTATATTATGTGTGTACTGTTAGAAGAAAAATAAGATTAAGATTATTCTATAATAACCTGACCCATATATTAGTCAACAATACTGTACAGTAGAGTATATAGGATTTTAATGATTAGAAGTCTAGTTTTAGTCTATTGGACACCAGCAATCAAGTTACGGTACTTAGATGAATACTGACTGACCCTACTTACTTCTATCAATCAAAAACGACTGAGGTTTAACATCTCTTAAACACAGCGCTTTTATTATTTTGAGACAAACAAATGGTAACTTTTTTTTCTATACATTTTATTATACTGTGTTAAAAATTTTGTGTATTATTAGTGTATTCTCGATACATTTTATTAAGCTGTGTTAAAAATTTTGTTTATTATTAGTGTATTCTTGATGTAGCAAATAATGGATTTTGATTTGATTGAGTGTCCTACCCATACAACTACCATATACGATCCCTATCTGTTACAAACAAAATGGTTTCCAGAATTGCCAAGTTATTCGTAAAGTATTAGAATAATATTATCTCTCTGATTAATTTGATTTGTTTTATATTGTAGAACAATGGGAGCTGCTCACAGTAAAAGACAAAAATATAAACGTAAGAAAGAAGAGGTTGATGACTCGTTATATCGAGATTTAGAGCGATTGCGAAGTTTGTCAAAAACGAGATTAAATCGTTTATCGGCAGACATCGAAAACATGAATACAGCAGATTATTTACCCCATGAATATAAAATGTGTGATTCAGTCGAGGAAAGTAGTGTTCCTACAGTAACAGATCATCCCACAATTCAGCATAATATCAACTTGAAATACCCACAAAGTGTTCGACATATAAGCCTGGATGATCACCCAGTGCTTACTAAACTACAAAATAAACAAAACGCCAGACTGGAAAGTATGGAACAGCGTATGGAAAGAATTCGAACAAATGCAATGCAAGCCGCAGAGAGACGTAAATTTGCACACATGTTTAAAGCCAAAAACGATGTGGATCGAACAAACGAATTACTTAAAGAAGCAACCAATGCATTGGAGGAGATGAAACGCCAGCAGAAACAAAATAGAACTTTAACGGAGCACGGTGATCAAGGGGAGATTATTCCCGTTAAAATATTACAGAAAGATTATGACCAGGGTGACCAGGGCAAGAAGAAACATGTGAATGTTTATCAAGATGATCAGACTTTACTTATAGGTGGTCTTAGACTTAGTAAGTATTATTCTTGTAGATTACAATTTTAACAAACTGTTGGCAGAAAGAGCAATGATATTCATATAATATTCCTTGTTGTAATGTGTTTACATGTAGATGGGAAGAAAAATGTCGAGGTCCTCCCTTGTACTAGTTAACGTGCATGTATAAGAGTCCTTGACAATTAGAATTCAATGAAACATTGCCGAAAATTCTGCTGTACGGACAGAGTCCCCTTGTAGCACACTGCATAGAATTTGCTCGTTATCATTTTATCATTTTATCATTAGTCCAGTGGTGTAGAACAGTTGGGTGTTAAACCCTATTTCATTTATTTTCCTTTCATATCTGATTTGGCCAGTCAAGTGTAAGATTGGTTCAAATCCTATTGATTTAGAACTTATGTCCATAAGCTAGAATGTTGTAACATCGGCTGATATCTGCACTTTGAAAAGTCATGTTGTACAACAATGTGGTATATATGGCCTGTAATTAAATAAGTATTTCAAAGAGACAGAGACAGACAGAGGTTTAACTCCACTCAACACAAACCAGGTCATTTTGGGGCTAACACATGGTTCAATTTTATTGCAATAATTCGCTTGCGCATAGGGGTTTTTAGCAGTGGGAGGAAACCGGAGGACCCAGAGAAAACCCACTAGGTTAGACAGACGACCCTACTCCTTGTCATGTACAGTACACCGGGGAATCAAAACCACGCCAGTTGACTCAATCAAAAACCTTGGCCACCCCCACCCCCCTCAGAAATAGATACAATATTATTAGAATAATTGCATGTTATAATTTTGTACTTTCAGATGATCCAATCACATGGCTACTTCTTCCTCTAATGCTTCCAATCGTTTTAATTGTGTACCTGATGCGTGGAATAATGACACATCACCCGAACAGGAAAAAACAGAGTTCCCCCGCTAGATAAATAGCGCTACAGCTCCACAAGGCCTTATGAACAATGTTTATTGTCACAAATAGTGCTATATATCGATTATTCTTATTTTATTTGACAACTCTTGTTGTTTATATATCTATATGTATATATATATATATATGGTTAATTATTTTGTAGTGGTTTCGAAATTAGGAAATACACAGGCTGGAGCTATCTCCCTATAGCTATCCATTAAGTAAGTAAGTCATCAAATTTATGTGTAGATCTAGGCTTGGTTTATCTACATGGTTAAATGCTATATTAGTGTTAGGTGTATTTAACATTTTGTGTTTGTTAAACTTAAACCACAAATAAACAAACTTTTGTCAGATCCATTTTATGGGTACTTTCAATAAGTAGGAATACAGATCTGATATAGATATTAATAATCCCTTGATAAATTATATGCTCTTTCACATAGATATGAAAAAGCCATTCAAATCAAATCTGAAGATCTAACTTTTAGAAAAGTATTTATGACCAGAATACATTTTGATTTACTAGTAATCTTGATACCATCAGTTGGTTCTTTAAGATCAAACTATTTGAATATGTCCGTACACTTGGACCTCAGTGTAGTTGGGGTTTACTGGATGAGTTTCAGTAAAAATCATCTACTCTGGAGGTAGAGTTATTGACACTCAAGTGTAATGATGATCGGAACCAGGCATAAAATACATGTATCCTAAAGGTCCTTCTTGGCCAACGTTGAGATTTAATCCCCTGGGCACTGTAGTACTTCTTGTGTACTGACGGCTAACTTATTACCATGTAGGAGATTAACCCAGTGTGTAGCTAAGTGTGTTACAAAGTCTTGAAGTGTCTTCTTTTATACTTTTTATAATCAAAGGTAACTTGATGTCAAAAATCATATTTTCTGGTCAAAAATAAATGTGGTGAAAAGTTCTAGTCAAAGTTATCAACATGGTGCTATGATGTAAATGTTAATGGTCACTATGTGTGTGACTGCTAAATTTAGCTTATCTTGGTCTTGCTTTCAGTCTAGTACTAATATTAGCTAGGTACAGTAATTGTTGTATTATTCACGTGATGACAGAGACTAAACATCATGTCAACAATTTTATTACAAACACCATGTGGAGCCAATCAAATACTGAGTTTGACGGTAATCAGACAAAGTTATGTAGATAGAACAAAATATCTTAATGGAAAACATGATAATTCATGAGATCAACATTATGTAATTTTGTTTTAAATTTTAAATCTGGCAAAATATTTAGCAAAATATTTAGCAAAATATAGACCTTTCTTTATCAAGGCTAGTTAACATATTGAACTAATTGGAAGACCGAAATAGATATAGCTGTGTATAGTATTTATTTAAAGCCATGACTAAAAATATTTTGTTTGAGATTATATTGTAATTAAATGAATTACATGCATAATATTATATAAGTACATTTATATGTTGATTTTTAATGTCATTTATAATCCTACTAAAGTTGATTTGGCCTAGATCTAATATCTTTTTCTGAAGACATGATTAACCAGATTTCTTTATTAGCAATATATGGATGGTTAATTACCTTTAAAACAGGACTAGTTTCAGCTGTATCATGATTGGATGAAATTTGCAGTACTATAATATCGTTTCAGCCAATCAGATATATTTGACCTATCTGATGGGTTAAATGTCCATTCTTGATATTTTTGCCTCTGCTATTAAGGGAAAACTGGTTTTAACCTTCTACAGCTTTTTGTTAATTATGAAATGTTAAATCTTGTGAATATATAAATATTATAATATGGTATATGTAGAATGTAAGTTAAAATTTAGACGACTTGTATTATAACTTAGATACGGGTCTTAATTATTAATTCTTATTGTTTCATTTTGTTGTGTAGGGTCGCGGGAATTTGACGGTTGTATTCATGTGAAGTCTGATATAATAAACTTACGTCAAAACTTCATTGATTGTAAACTTTTATTTTTATTTGAGGTTTTAATTTCCTTTTCATTTGATTTTTGACAAATCCAAGCATTGTGATGGTCTATTTGGGCCTCTTAAAATATAAAGAAAGTTTAAATATATTATTGGTATTCTGGATACAACCCTAACTTTTACGAGACTACATGTTTGTAAATTAAGGTAGTCGAGTCTAGTCGACTTACTCTTTTATTTTGTATAAAAATAACAATAGTTTTATAGAACATCATCCCTCATTTCCTTTAATCTTAAAACTTTCCATTTATAAATAGCTAAGGGAGCGTAACACTATTTATTGACAATCCACCCACCAACAAAATGAGAATATTTTTATTTGTTAACCTATCAGTTGTAGAAATTGAATCAACATCCATTTCTATAACTGGTCGGATTGTTGAATAAGTTTTTTCACATACAGCAGTAGATTTTTCTCCAACAAGCTTATGCAAAAATGCAGAACTCTTTTTAAAGCAGAACTACACAAATAGCTCATTTCAGAAAAATATATTAATCTATCTGTTAGTCTCAATAATCCAGTCCTATAGTTAAATTCAAATTCTTGAAATCGAAAGAATGGTTTAGCAAGACTATCCCATTTCCTGAAGTTAATTTATATGGAAAAGACTTAACCAGAATATTAGTGATATTAGTCATTATATGTTTTATCATTTACAGATTTAATAACCTCTGAAAATAAATCATATACATGTATATACAATTTGTTATAGACACAAGAAATTCAGATATCAATATATATATATATATTTGGATGGCTTACATCTGTATTGGCTATGGCTTAACTGATATTAATATATATGTTGTCCCTTGGCAGATATTGTTTTTGTATTACAAAAGATTAAAACATTATATGTAGGACTACAGCCATATGTCCTAGTTTTAGGGACAAAAGGATGAGACATTAAAGAAATAGGAGAGATCTGCAGCAATGAGCAGCAGCACTAGAGCAGACATGAAGTTGTGATGAAGCAGATTGTAGTTTATATAAAAGTATATGCTAGCCTCAAATTTGTCACTTATTTACTTGTCTTGCCTACAGGAGGGTTCGTGATTGTCCCTAACAGACAAATGACATCCCTAATTTAGAAAGAAAATGAAATGTGTTTATTTATTTTAAAAAGTATCTATTAAAATCAGTATTAACTGTAGTGTAATAATTCAGTTTATTTTATTTTGTTTTATATATTTTTTTAATTCATATTTAAATTATTTTAATACTGTTTACTGAATACATCTATTATTTTGTTGGCAACAGGACTGCAGAATTTCATGCAGTAAATTTTAAGTTTTGAAAGGACATGCACCTTCTGATTTGGGAGAAAAATTGAAATTATTGACGTTTTGGTCTGTTTTAAGAGATGTTTCTCGTTTTTTAACATACCAAGGTTAAACCAATGTTGTGAGATTGAGATATGTAAAATCAACACCTTTAAGGTTTGGAGTTAGTTAAATGTGTATCATTTTGCTTCTGTATTTATTTCGAATGAAGCATTGGATACACAATGGTGTCCAGGTTTATTTTACCCATTTAAAAAAACCTGACAGGATTCAAACCATGTTTTAAGGTTCACCAAAGTGGGCCTGATTTAAGCCATGTTGCAAGGCTGAACTTTAGCCTTGCTATAAAGTGAACCTATTTTAGCCATGTTATTAAGTGAGCCTATTTTAAGCCATGTTATAAAGTGAGCCTAATTTAAGCCATGTTATAAGAAATTGTATCTGCATGTATTGTATATTTTGATTGAATAAAATTACATTGTTTCTAGTCATAAAACAATCTTTGGATTTTTCTGTTGGTAAAATAAAATACAAAAGAACCCCTCACCCTGGAATATTTGGTCATTTGAGATAGAATTTCCCAAAAATAAACTGATCTCTGTCTATCCAGAATTTCTGGCCAAATACACCCACCCTTCCCTCCAATACTACTCGAAACTGAAACTGTCGGTACAGTGATTTCCATTCCATTACTGAGACAAATTGCCTAAATGATACATTGCTGTTCATTGTTGACTCCGGATGTCTCTCTATTTGAGTTCTGCAAATGCTATAGGGAAGGATATGACATAACATTAAAAGAGTCGAAAGTTAAGTTTCTGAGTGTTGAATAACACACTTTATCCCTTTATTCCAGTCTGCCAGCTATAAATGGATACCACAGGAATAATGGCTGTACGATTACACAAATTACTCTTGTGCTACATAGGTAGCTTCCTCTCTAAAATGTACCTGTATCCGAGATTCCAAGATTATACATGTTGGTATCTGATTGAACATTCTGGAATTGAATACAATACGATTTTGACCAATATCACTATAATTGATACAATAGAGTTGCAATTCACCAAATCTATTATCAGGACTGACCAACAGTAACAGTATTTAATGCCATGTCATTTCGCTTAGAGAAATGGGGTTTAACCTCCACTTGACACAAACTAGGTCATTTTGGGACGAACATATGGTTTAATTTTATTTCAATAATTCACTAGCGCGTAGGGGTCTTAAGAAGTGGGAGGAAACCGGTGTAGCCAGAAAAAACCCACGAGTTTGGACAGGCGACCCTACCCCTTGTCACGTACCGGGGGATTCAAAACCACGCCAGTTGACTCAATGACAGGCTTTATGATACAGTGCGCAAATGCTAACCATTCGGCCATCCAACCCCGCATATCGCTTAGTGGTTTGAAGTAAAGTGCTTTATAAATGTCCACATTAAACTTTCACCTTTCTCATCTCAGATAAAATTTAATATAGCTGCATGCAAGTATATCTTAGAATAAAATAAAAACAATCCATATTCCTTGTCCTTTTATTTTATGTTATTTTGACGAAATTTTACTAGCATCAGATTTACAGTTTGCAACTTATTACATCATTTTACAGGCATATATTTGTCAAAAACCACATCACTTTAAATTGAGTTGTATGTCACAAAATTCTTGAAATGAAAGACAAAGATGTGCAGTAGATTTTTATTAATTGCTACTTGATTCTAAAATTTTAAGTAATTGCTACTGGATTCTAAAATTTGACTTACTGATTGGGTACATTTTACTAGAGTACATTCTGAAATGTGGTGTGGAGCAGGGCTTTTACTCTTAAAATTATTCCAGCTTGTTTTTTGACATATTACGTTTAGTTCTGATTAGCAAGATATTTATTTTAAATATACCAGAAGAGAATATCTCCAAGAACATGATTTTGAGATATGGCCTTCAAACATTTGAAAGCTTGTTGTAAATTAGGATAGGGATATATCTATTTAGAATTTTGTCCCTTTATTTGTTTTGGGCTTATACTTTAATATTATAACAAAATTGGGCTATTTTCGTCAATAAAAGTGTAAAATATTCAAATTAAATGGCTATTCAATTCTGGCAAGAAAAGTATTGAATATTCTTGGCTGATATCCAATTAAATTTAAATGGTTTTATCTGTGTAACAAAGCTCTTTATACACAAAATCAACTGAAACAACATGATATTATGTTAGGCATGTCCTCCATTTTGCTAAAGGGATGTCACTCTTAATAGTGCAAAACAGTCCAGCCAGAAGTGAATATGTGTCACATAACCAGCTCTGGCATCAGTATTTTAGTGCTAAAAGTGACCATGTGCCAGATATCCACTTCTTTCCAAAACCTTTTTATGATGGTAGACTTTAATCAAAAACAGACAGTGCATTTTATGCATTTTGAATGGCTGTAGGACATAACACAAAAGTAAAAAAAAGTAAACAAAATCAGAAAAATTGGAGATATTCACTTTTGGTTCTAAGCCCTTGATATGTTTCCCTGTAATTACTTTGTCCTAAGGTTAGAGGTAAAAATCCTGATTTAATCATTTATTTTTTTGTCTGATTTTAGTACTCATATCACCGGGGCATTTGAACCCTGTCAAACTGGTTACAATGAAATATTTTACTCCACAAACAATTTAAACTTAAAGTAAACCCAGATGAAATTGTTTTATTAAAGAATTAAATAAATTTCCATACTGGTATCAATTATCACTAAATTCTTCTAATTCATAAACAAATTGAAACTACCCTTCAATATTGAAAAACTAAAACCAATATTAAAAAGTACATGTAATAAAGAAATGAAATCTGCCTGTATCCTATACATTAAAGTTTAAACTTCAGGTATTTTAATTAATTATGCTTTAAAAATAAAAAAATAAAAATAAACTCTGTATTTAAAGTCTCTGTCATTGAATGATACAAATTTCTATCATGCATAATAAATCTTTCATATATATACAATCTTCATTACAACACATATTTACGCTAAACCCCATATCATTTCATTTCACAACATTGATTTAGGGGTCCTCAGAGTATAACAAGACCCTTATATTACTTATCAGAGATTCGCTATAAAATTAATGATGTTGGGACTTTGATGGACTACACAAATGCTGACAGAATTGACACAGGAACAACGCATGAATAAAATTCACATTCAGAAGCACAAATATTTAAGAAACAAACTATGTGGGCAGGGAATCATTATCGGTCTTGTAAAACCAAGAACATAGTTTCCAATACAACCTAGGCCCCCATAGGCAACATCCATTTTATAGTGTACCATGGTCTAGTTTGATCCGAGTAATTTCAAGCATTTCAACACTCAAACAATAACAAGTGGTTGCCATGCAAGATACGCCCACATTTTTCAAGAGATGGACAGAGAACAGGCTAAAAACATACACCAGGAAGTTATGGTTCGACCAAGTTACAGTCTGATATGCGCAATTATCGAAAGGAACCAAGACCTTTGGGTTATAAACATATATTTTAAGTTTCATCAAAATTGGATACAAATGTGACCTCTAAAGTTAAAAATGTGAATTTCCATACAATCAGGGGCCATATGTGCCAATATCGAAAGGAATCGAGATCTTTGGGATATAAGCCTATATTTCAAGTTTCGTCAAAATTGGATAATAATTGTGACATGTAGAGTGTCAACAAACAAAATGTGGATGGACAGATGTCCAGACGAACAGGGGCAACGACAATATACATCCACATGAAAATGTGGGCATATAATAAAAGTGTATGTGAATTATATTTTAGCTCACAGCTTTAACAGCTAGTGTTAATCACCAATATATGCTAAGAGTTTTAAACAAGATTTACTATATTATATTTCTATCTACAAGGCTTCAACAATAATGCTAACAATTGGGGAACCACAGACTAGACACTAATATATTGCCTTAATTGAGCCCTGCCTTATAACAACGAAAACTATTGTGAGGCAATATTAATAATAATATATGAAAAGTTTGTAATAACTAACAACTTCAGCACATGTATATCACATTTTCCTCTAAACATTATTAAGTCCTGATCAACAACTGCTTAGTAAATTTGTTCCTTTAAATCCTTGTTCTTGTCGTGGTGGAGCTGAAAACACAAAATAAAATATCATGAATAATAAAGATGCATTATTAGAGCATCAAATACAATAGCACAGCAAAATGAAAAGTGGCATCAGGTGTTCTAGAAAGAGTAAATATCTTCTGTCTCATGGTTACTGATAAATATTATGCTCAATGATGTCAAGTATGGCATGTAATATACATGTACAGAGGAGAAATATTCTCAGTCTTCTGTGAATCATCATCCGATTGTCTAAAGGAGATTGAACCCATGAATGAAAGTCTTGTCTATATATATCCGGACAAAAATAGACTTGGTCAGTTTAATTTATACATATAAACGTCATCTTTACATTTATCAATAAAAGATTAATGAAAGCTGTGCCGATGTTCCGGCAATTAAGTTCAGAGGATAGACCAACCATTTCCAGAATATAAGGCATGTAGACTAGAATGCGGCCATACTGTATGTTAATTGTTTTCATTACATCTGTATATCCAATATCTATTAACTGATAAATCAGTGGTATCAATCCTGTTTTAAACTTACAATATCTATTAACTGATAAATCAGTTGTATCAATCCTGTTTTAAACTTACAATATCTATTAACTGATAAATGAGTGGTATCGATCCCGTTTTAAACTTACAATATCTATTAATATCTATTAGTTTTAAACTAATTACAGAACAAACCTGACATTAAATCTTCTATAACTGTTGACTCCTCATTCGGTTCATCAACCTAAAATACACCATTAAGACAGCATCAAGATTATTATCATTATTATTATAAAGATTCATGTAGCGCTTACATTCCACAAAAGTCGAACTCTTAAGTGCTTCACAAAAGATCACTTTAAATTAATATGTCTAACAAACAATCATTTACCACAATAAAACACAAAGAAATATTTGGCAACGGAAAGACAATAACTGATACAAACATGCTGACAAATTTGAAATGAATAGAAACTATATATCATCTGTATTCATTAGCAAAAACATGCTGACAAATTTGAAACGAATAGAAACTATTTATCATCTGTATTCATTAGCAAAAACTATCCTATAAGGTCAGTAGTTTATTACTTTGATATAAACATTCAGTTTAACTATGATATCCCAAAATCTGATTCCGCATTGCGATCACATGATTTATCCAGGTAAAACCATCCAAACAACTATATCTGACCTCCTTTCTCTTACCTTTAATAATATACTACAAGCTGGATAAAGCTTTAATTCTTGTAATGTCGACGCATTATCTTGGAGTAATCTTCCATCTATCCATAAATTCTGATCAAATGGCGGGACGGAAAACAAATTCATTATCTGTGGAAAAATAAAAATTCACTTGTTTTAATAATGACATTTTAACATTTAGACACAGTGTTAGTTTATTAAAGTAGTAATTCCTGTTATTTTTAACTTGTGTGCCAGGCATGTATTAATAAATCAATAAAAAAAACAAATAAAAAAGACAAAATCTGTCAGACACCAGAGTGATTGTACATGGTAAAACTTAGATATACACTTGATAATTATTTGCATTCTTGAAAAGATAGATTGCCAGGCAATAACACACATGTCTGGCGGCATCTAGAGATGACAAATGCCTGAATCAGACGTTTCGTTGAGTCCTTATCGATGTATTTCCTAATTTGGCGGATATTTCGTATTTGAAAGTAAGCAGTTCTGCACATGTGTTTCTAAATTAAATTGTGAGTCAAATACAACACCAAGGTTTCGCGCGCTTGTCTTGGGATTGATTGTTGAGTCACATACAGTTAGTTGAAACTGTTCTAATTTTGCACGTGATGATTTTGGACATATTATTATAAATTCAGTCTTGTTTTCATTGAGTTTCAAGAGATGACTGGTCATCCAGCACTTAATATCTTCAATACATCTTGAAAATGAATTGAAAACATTTTGGTTATATTCCCATTTATATCTAATTCATTGTCTATTCATATAAAAAGAGCATCGGAAATCCTAACAAACATCTCACATACACTCATGTTTATTAACCATACTTTACCTTGACTTTAAGATCTTTAAGCGTCATGTCAGATGATACAATCACTTCTTTCTCCCCTCGTAGTTTTCTACGTCTTTGACTCTTTCTTCGAGAAAAATCAAAATCGAAATCTATCTTCTGTATCTTATCAGGTGGTTCTTCAACTTCATTTGTCTAAAATAAAATCAAGTTTCAAATAAGTAAACCTAATCAAAATTAAATTGCAATTTTGATTATCTTTCCTCATTTGAACGTTTCAATGCTAACATTGTATATCAAAAACAAAATCAAAATTAACCGAAATCAGATTTAATCATATTGTATACAGGTAAATTTTGTCTCAATGGGGAGTGAATAAGAATAGAGATTCTGAGATGGGACACATCATTTTCTTCTAATTTCAGAAAAGCTATCATTTATCTCATTTATCAAGCAAACAGGACGAGAAACTTCTAGAAGAAGAAATAGTGGACAATGGAACTTAATGCTACGTTCCCACTGTCATGCGATGCATTACAATAGGATTGTTCCTATTGAGTCCACGATCTGGTATGTGTAGATACATTCGGATACGTTTCAATACAATTGACACGATTGCTACGACTGACCTCAATATATGATAAGACCTGATAGGATCACCACGATTAAAACCACGATTTCAATCGTAGCACGAATTGTGATAGTGGGAACCTAGCACAAGACAATGAAATGAAAATGAAATGAGTCTAAAATTTAGACTCTAAATCCTACATTTCTGTACAAACTGGGCCATGCACTCTGGCATAAGGAAAACTTTGTCAGAACTACAGTAAATGCTTTTTAAATGCCAGGTCCTGCCCCAATTGAAAGTAGGCTAGTAAATTCTGAGGAACTTTCTCTGGCAAAACATGGGACTGAACTCAGAACCTCCTCGTTTTTGAACTGGCACCATACTTACTGAGATAGCTCCATCACGTCATCAGAAGAAAGAGAGATTTGCAGATTTGGACAAATATTAAAATGATGCCTAAATGAAATGAAATGTGGTTTAAAGTCCTACTGTTCTGCACCGACTGGGGTATTGAAGACTGGCATATACCATACATTGTGCTATGAAGGAAATTTTGCCTGGACAGTGGCACTACAACCTATTTCGATATCAAACTCCAGCTGCTAAGGGATCTTTTACATGCATGCCAATGTGTACAGGGGACCTTGGTTTTTCATACCATCCGAAAGATGTCCTGTACCACTGATAAGGGGGAACCACGCCGGAAATCCCAATGAACTTCCTTGGGATCGAACACAGGTTAGTGAGCCAATATCTTACTCCCTCAAAATGATGTTATTTACTCACCTGTATATGAGTATTATTGGTTCCATTATTAACTGGTAATGTTGTGTTTTTATGGTTTTTATATACATATATTACACTATTTACAAATATATATCTCTTCTTCTCTTCTTCTAATAATCTCATTGATTGACATTCTTTACACACCACTAAAAATAGAAAAAATAAAAATAGCCTTGCAGTATTGATAAAAACATATAAAAAATATAAAAATATCTTTATAATGTAGGTAAAAATATCTGTATATTGTATGTAATAATAATATCTGTTGTATGTAAAAATATCCATATATTTCTCATGAAAGGGGCATTATGGGAGGTGACAGTTCTCGCTATAATAGTTAAAAAATAGATAACATAAATAGAATATGCTGAAAATTTTAGTCAAATTGCTCCTCTAAAACGAGATACTAGCTTTTGAATTTTAGGCTAGCCTCAATCATCGATAATATAAAAAATAAAGTCTCAATTATCCATTTTTATGTTTAATCACACATCACAAAATGTACTACAATCCACTTAAAGCGAGAATTTCATATATTCTAAGAAAATCAAAACATAATTATTTTATGTCTTTTGCTCAATAGGTTATCAACTCACTATTATACGATCATAGGCATTATTTCCCACACTTAAAAATCATTGACAAAGGAAATAATAACACAATTACCTCCCTTGTTTTCCTATTCCTCCATGGAATAGCTATCTTCAAACATTTGAATTTGAAGTTGAAAATGATATTTTTGCCAATTTCTCAACTGGCAATAGTGAATTATAGGATTAATAGGATTATTCTTTAACAAGGTAGGACTGTTTATAGATACCATCTTTTTTAAGGCTTTATTTTAATAAATTTTCGGGTGTTCGATCCCTGCATTGGCCGAGAAAGTTCATCCAGATTTTCCGGTGTGGTTCTCCCTTGTCAGTGATGCAGGACGGAGGGGCTGACAAGGAAAGTTGTCTAGTCGTTCGGATGGGACGAAAAATCAAGGTCCCGTGTACACATTGGCGTGCACGTAAAAGATCCCTTGGCAGTTGGAATTCGGTATAAGAGTAGGCCGTAGTGCCGCTGTCCGGGCAAAATTTCCCTCATAACACACTGTATGGGGTATGCCCGTCTTCATTAGCCCAGGTTAGGAGCAGAACAGTAGGACGTTAAACTCCATTTCATTTCATTTCATTTAATAAATTTTAAAATATAACTTAAAAATATGAAATTTTAACTTTCCTATCGCAGGCTAGCGATGGCATCTAGAGTTGATTATGGTCTGGATAAGTCAATTAATGTCTAATTAATAATCTAGATAAAGAAATACCTGCAATAGGCAGATTTAGCTCTTTCACAGTGTATGTTTAAGTAAAATATCCTTATATATCCCGTAAAAAATATCTTAATAATGTAGGTAAAATATCCTTATATTGTAAGTAAAAATATATTAATACTGAAGGCAAAAATATCCTTTTTTTATATATAGTAGGTAGAATTTCCCTGTATTTTGAGTAAAAATATCTTTATATTGTATGTAAAAATATCCATATCCTTCTCATTAAGTAAAATATCCTTATATTTTCGGTAATAACAATCTTTCATTTCAACCAAAAACATCCTTACATTTCAACCAAAAACAATAAAATACTCTTATATTTATGCAAAATTAGTTTTTTACTAGTGTGACTGATCAATGAATGTATAATATAACAACTTACCTGGAATAGTCAATGTTTGTATTTCACCAGTTTCTTCTGTATATCTAACAATATTTATATCTACATCACAGCTTGTATATTTACATAACTTCTCCCATTCACTAGGCCATAATAAAACACTACAACAGAAATACAACTTTTATTGGCAGTTGAACATGCATTTATTACAAGACAGGTAATTTTGAAACTAACATATCTTAGGACAGAACTCATGATTTAAAGTAAACATGTTAGACAACCTAGCGACCCAACTTGATCTTAATAATAATAAAATCATTGTAAAGAAACTTACATTTCCGAATGATCATCTAGTTGTTCAGGTGATAAAATCAGCAGATTATGTTGACATAGTAACAGTTTATTATTCACATTAGTTACAGCAGGACTTCTACCACTATCTCTGTAAATACAAAATAATGGTCGATATATTTACAGAAAATTAACGTAGTTAATTTTGTATTATACCATTGAAAATTCTAACACAAAGAAAGAGCAAATTATATCTTTGGATTATCTTTTAATATTGAAAGATACCAATCTGTATTAAAAAACTAAACAACACTTCATTAAATCTAATATTTTTCATCCAAATCAAAAATCATTCAGAGTAAGCAAAAGAGGATTACATCTGATTAAAATGCTTGCTTGTCAGACAAGGTAACATACATCCACCGACAGATTTATCAACTGTGTTACAATAGGATTCTTCATTTTTTTATTTTGTATTACAGTTTTGGGAGTAGGGGTCTGTATTTGGAAAGAGTTGAATAATATCAATAATAAGTCCAGGATAGTAACTCTGATAATCACTCCAAATACAGGTCAATATTCATGGGCTAATTAAGATATAGGCATATAAAAAAAGAATTGTAAAAAAAAGGAGAACCAACTTGATGTATTTTCTCCATTCATCTACGAACGTCTGACTGACGACATACAGCTCTAGATTAGATAAATCATCTAACACAGGGCGTTTACGATCTAAATATAGATCTAATAAATCAGATTTCTGTTGATCTACGCATCTCTTCTTCTGTAACTTTAATTCACATTTCTCTACATTTAAAGCCTGAAAATAGGAGAGAGATAAAATAGGACCTTAGGACCTTGAGAAAATAGGACCTTGTGAAAACAAGATGGGATATTAATAAAATAGGACATTGATAAAATAGGACATTGATAAAATAGGACATTAATAAAATAGGATATTGATGAAATAGGACATTGATAAAATAGGACATTAATAAAATAGGATATTGATGAAATAGGACATTGATAAAATAGGACATTAATAAAATAGGACATTGATAAAATATGACTGAGATAAAATCTAATTTTACACAAACATTGGCCTACAGTACTTGGCCTCGAAAAAACGGAGCATTCATTGTAGCCTGTTTTTTTTTCAAAATTTTTCTTTATTATGACATAAAGTTACATTCAATAACTTTTACTAGATTTAGAGTGAAATCATTGAACAAACCTTAGAATGTTAATGAAATAGCTTCTACTAAAGTAAATACAAAAATGGACAAAGCAACAATATTACCGCAATTATATCGTCAACTTCACTGAAAAATGTCACCTGAATAAGTGGTCTTCTTGAATGAAAATTTTAATTAAGAAAACAATATTTTGGTCATTCCATACAGGAGCTTAGCTTAAAATGAATTATAAGCTTGGAATCTGCAGTTAAAATTATATTTTTCAATAATAATTAATATTTGCACTCCTCAAATTTGGACTTGCGCAGCATTGCACACAAGCATGCAATACCAATTCTTGTTACAGTGGTAAATAATACACCATACCTCACATTGTTGGCAGATGGCATCATTAATATGGAATTGTTGAGAATACGGAAAGTAAGAATATAAAATCTTCCAAACATCTTCTGGGACTAATCGACGACAAGTTTCATCAGGAGTCAGATTATCTACAAAATATAAAGATCAAATTTTATAAATACCATAAATAAATTACACAGTGTTTAAATCATGCTGTCATGGAAGTTACAACAACTGTTTATCCATGCCACCAAGAAGTCACGCATGTATTTATTTTCCACAGTACGAGTATTTAAATTTGACACAAACTTCACATTTTAAATGAAATGACAGGACCCCCTTGTTCTTCAAAAGATAACCATATATCAGGTTTATACTTGCGAAATCTTATCATACCCATTTGTACAATGTTGCTGTTTTCAGAATTATTAGAATTAGAAAAATGTCATTTAGCGAGATGACTTTGACCCTAAACCCTAGTCTCACCTTTTATAGAATTATCAGTTGCAATGCATGGCTATCAAATTATCGGTAGATGAAGATCTAAATGGGATCCCTACATGTATCCTACATGTTTTTTGACAAAAGATGTTATTTTTGGTAAAGTTGTTATAAAGTTGGGCTGTAATACAAATGCTGGGTTGATTTACAGTCTGCTAGAAACCGGAAGTCTCGCTCTTGTGTGAAATGTTTTTAAGTATCGAATAAGCTGACAAAATTTTGTTGCACTATCCTAATAATAATAGTAACAAGGAATCACTGACTGGGATGATCAAGACATCAATTTTCCGGATGTTTACATTAGAGGCATAATAATAATGATTTACATTTCTTCAAAATTTTGTTACGGACAAATTGACAGGCCCAATAGAGTTTGTGCCTGACATGGCGTAAAATTGTTATGGAACAAAGTCCATGTCCGGCTGCTTGTGTCCAGGCTTGTTTATAGTCTTCTTTTTCTACATCAATCACACTAATAAAGAGGGTCATATGCCATGCACTTTCAAATAGTATAGCATGATGATGGGTCAACCCTTGTGGACCAATTTAATTAATCTCAATTTCAAACAGAGAAATTGACAATATTATGTTCTTTTCACATGGGGGGATCACGTGGCTAAGTGGGTAAGACACTGGCTCGGTAGCCTGGAGGTCGGGTGTTCGATCCCTGCGTTGGCCGAGAAAGTGCATCCAGATTTTCCGGCGTGGTTTCCCTTTGTCAGTGATGCAGGACGGAGGGCCTGACAAGGACAGCTGTCTAGTCGTTTGGATGGGACAAAAAACCGAGGTACCATGTACACATTGGCGTGAACGTAAAAGATCCCTTGGCAGTTGGAATTTGACATAAGAGTAGGCCGTAGCACCGCTGCCCGGGCAAAATTTCCCTCATAGCACACTGTATGGCGTATGCTCGTCTTCATTAGCCCAGTTTAGGAGCAGAACAGTAGGACGTTAAACCCCATTTCATTTCATTTCTTTTCAAAGATTTGTCAAATGTGATGGTCACTGAGGAGATATTTTATAAAGTGAAAGTAAAGGATACATACCATGTAAATCACAGAGTAAATCTGTATTAAATATAAAACTAGATTCAGCTTGATCTTCTGCCTCTGTACTTCCTGAAATAGAAACATTAAAACATTTTAAATTATAAAATAAATAAATATGTTTACATTGGGCATTATAACCCTGTTTAAACTTGGTCGCTAAGGTACCATGCTGCGATAAATTTCAAGAAATTACCCTATAATAACCAGTCTCGGGACCGTACCAGGCACGCAAAATGTGAAACACTTCACAGAAAAGTTAATTTCAGTCCCTATGCAAATTACGGGGATGAAGCCAATTATTGTGGTTGATTTAGTTTTGGGCAGCCATTTTGACAGAACTGATGACAGAATTGTCAAAGTTCACAAGAAAAAAGGTCAGGGTTCATTTGGCGCATGTGCAGTAATCCATACTGAGTATCGTTCTTAGACTGGATAGCGTCTACACTACGAAAATTTAACCGTGCCATACCTGGCACTGTGCCGAGACCACCTCACTTTGGTGAGCCAAATCAGTACAGTACGATTATGTTTGACCCATTTAAACTACCAAAAAATTAACCGTGTCCCTTAAAATTTGTAATGTAAATGAGGTTTATGTCAACTATTTGGATTCCAATCAAAAATATCTTTTTACATGAATTCTTTCCCTGCTACAGATATGAATTCTACTCAGAATAATTAATTTTATCTCTATTGTTCTCTTCGAAATCTTTTATAACCTAGATATCCCGCTACTTGTAGAACTTCAAAACATAATATAAGCCATGCATACATTTTCTTGAGAGGAGATAACAGATTACATACCATTTATTTCTTCAGGCTGTTCATCAGGAGAGGGACTAGATTGTGATGTTCTATTACTACCATTCTCTAATCTATCTAAAGCTAATTTCTTCCAACTTCTTAAAGATGATTTACCAACCCAATACCATGAAAGACTAATATAAAAATAAGTGACAATTGGGATATTACCAAGACTTTGATGATGGAGATCAGATAAAACAGCAAATGTCTGGCCTGGGAAATGAGGCTTCCCCATTTATGGCTATTGCCAATTTATATAAATATGATAAAGCACACAATTATTGAATTCAGTCTAATTCAATCATCCCTATACACATTCAAATCATGTAAAATCATAAACAATATTTTACTAATCACTTAAAGACTTTCAAGGCGCTGCTGCTCTTTTAAAAGTTCAAAAGTTCCAGGGGTAGTATAATATATGTTTATAACAAGTCTATTTTCAGACTAACATACCAAACTTTAACCATTAAGGACAAGGATCAGCAAGGCAGTCTTCATGGAATAAATAATATACATGTTTTCAAAATAAAGTAACTCACCATTTTTTTCAAATTAATATGTTGTACAAAAATTACAAGTTTTTGTGATATCAACAGAAAATTAAATTAAATTCACCTACCTATTGTTTATATTCTTCAAACCAGTTGTAATTTTTTGATCATCGGAAGCCATTTTTATTTTAAGTCGTATCACATGACATCTCTGTTGTACACACTGTCTACATAAACCTTTATCTCTGTAAAATAACACAATTAATTTACACTACATATCCTTTGAATGAAGTTCTGTTCATAAGAACTGGTTTCTGAACCCATGATATGAATTACCTCTTATTATTGTAGAACTCTTAAGTTTAAAAATGTTTTTGTTTAAGAATGCAAATCAAACACCAAAATGTGAAGAAATTTACCATATGAAAAAGGTTCAGTTGTTTAGAGATGACTACCAAATACAGTTCATCATGGTTATGGAACTCTTTTAAAGTGCTTGACTATAATTTTTTTTATTGAGAGACCTGATCATTGCAACATTTTCTTACTCACTGCTACAACAGAAAAACGAATGTAGAGTGGAAAGTTGTCACTACGCACATATCTACATATTAGATAAGTTTATCAAGCTCAATAAAGTGTGGTATTTTTTACTTGTGACTAGAATAAATCGACCATGGGTTGTCTCATATTTATCCTTTTGTCACCATAGTGTTCACAATGTGCAACAAAGTGAAACCACGGCCATAACTCAAGAAGAAATTAATTGAAATTGTTGAATTTCAATAGGATTCTTCCTCTCACTAATGTAAACAACATACATTATAAAACTTTCAAAACAGTGTAGTCTGTAGAGTGTTCACAAGAAATTGTGGACGACTGACAGACGGAAGGACACAATGCAATGCAGGGTGACAATATACATTTCCATGTAGGCGTATAACCAGTTTTATATATTGAAATATGTCTTGGATTTCTATTTTAAAGTAATGTTGATTGGTCTGAGAAACTAACTTAGAAGAGTGCCTACATGTTTGGGAGGGGCTAAAAACATACTGAGTTTCTATATACACATTGAACATAAATTAAATCCTGAATTTAAATCTTTTAGATGATGTATTCCTGATATAATCTAGTTACAATAAAAATCTTTAATGCTACTTGTGGGTTAAAAACAATATATATATTACCTTTTTAATCGCGGTCCACCACCATACAGCGTATATAAACTATTGGCCTAAAATAAAGTCAGATAAACATACAGAATTCATAGTCTTAAGTCACATTAAGGCAATAGAATTCAAAATAAATAAATTTTATATTCTTTTAATAAGAAACATTCAGAGATTATTATTTAGAAACTGGACTAATAGATTAAATCAGGGAATATGGTACACAGATATTTTTTATTCTTCAGGAATATTTGCGTATGAAGACAATTCAAAATAGTCAACATGATCCTCAATGTTTGTGTAGTACATTAGGCATTTGATCCAAGAATATGTCAAAAACATTGTAAAATCATAAGAGGTATAATGACCCAATATCCATGTAAATAAAAAAAATACTTACCCCTATACTACTGACACATTTCATTTTATGAACTGATTCTGGGTCTAACCTTACAAAAAAGATAAATAAAAAATAGATAACTGGGCTATATATATATATATATATATAAACCTGAAATATTAAATATAGGATGATAGTCCTCCCCAGTAAAAGGTTTAGATAATTGGAAAGATCAAACAATCAGTGAAAACAGGTGGAGATGGAGAAGGTGCAAGAAGGTCATAGTTTAACATGTATTTAAATAGAAACTTACTGTTTATGTGGACATAATAAAGATGTATTATCTATAGCAGGAGCTTTACTTGGTAAATTTAACCATTTTATCAACCAATCAACACTTATCCATTCCATTTCATCTGCAAAAAATATTTTCAAAGCAAACTATCTTAAAAATCAAGGCTCTTTTCCAGTATCTGTAACAAGAAGAGTATCATTTTTGCATAGAAATTAGCACATTTAAATGTATAAATTAAAAAAAAATTAATTAATAAAGGCAACTGTCGTTAATTGAAGTGTTTAAATCTATAGAAAATAATGACATATTCAAAATGATCGATTTTATAATATTTTTGTTACAATCCATGAACTCTAAAAGTTCAGATCTAAACAATACAAAATGTTATTAAATGTAATTGTCAAGTGGTAACTTCTGATTGAAAGCAGTATTACCTATATTGTTTAAATCAGTAGATAATGTTCTATAAATAGATTGTACTTCTGTTTGTTCAGCTTTACCATTCTCTATATTCTGTTGCTATCAAAATAAACATATATCCACCTAAACAAATGTTTTCTTATAAACCTTCCCAGAAGTATTAACATGTCAAAAGGAACTATTAAGACACTCATTTTTCAATGAAAATGTTTTTAAAATAATCATTATCTTAATCAAGCTCTTTGTTCCACAGATTTTAGGAAAATGACAACATGTTTAACCATTAGATAAAACCTGTCTACGGTTCTGTATTTATACATACCCTAGATGAGAGAATCTCTGCAATCCATTTATTAAAGTTTTCATTATCCTTAGCTACGTAATCTTTAACAACCGGTGGTAATAAATTAAACTCATTTATATTTTCTATCACTTCTTCTACAAATAAAATAGAGTGTATTATATTATTTATTTCATATTTAGTTCAAATATAAAATATGATGATTGTTTTTTTAAGATATCTAGATCGAGCTATTCTTAGCTCATGAAACAACGGGAAACAACATTAAAGAGCGAAACATTATACGATTATTTTTTTTTCTTTTTATGAATATTGATATTGTTACATAGTTCCAACATCCTATCATATAGTTGTGTTCCTAACAAATATATATCAAAAGATAAATTAGGAATCTAAACTACTCTTAAAAAGTTGACATCTGTGTGTACACAATCACCTCATAACTTCAAAGGCTATGAGGTAAAATTAGAGTGTGCAACTTGATTTAGCATGGAGTCAAATTATCTCGGTTTCATATAACCTACTTTAACCAATTTGCATAATTTCTTCTAGAAAATATGGCTACAGTTTTATATTTTTATATTGCAAACTTATGTCACAGATATGGATCATAAACATAAAAGTGCAAAGAGAATTAATATGAATAACTGCGTAAATGACAGTGACTAACACTAAATAGAAAACAGAAAAGACAACAGGTCCACAGTTTATACCAGAACAATTACATGTTGATAATAATGGAGAGCGCTTCGTTTAATGCCCGGCCAAGTGGTGAATTTCAACACCATTGAACAATCGTTGTATATTACTTCATTTAACTTTAAAAAGAGAACTCCACTATTCACTTCCCCACAGAAAAATTTGATTAGTTAAGGTAACAGCTTTCACAATGCTCTAAGACACCTAGACTTTCCAGACACGTCTCAAATTTATGATAAATATGCAAAGCATATTGTTAAAAAAAAAGTGACCTGTTTTATTTTGTTGTTGTCTACTGTAGACTAACATATAGGCATTTTTAGATGTATGACATCCTTTTGTTACTTTAGGTACCTTCTGTTCTTTACCAGGTAATTCTGTCAAAATAAAATCAGGAATTAATCAACAAGTAAAAGAATTAACAACAGACAATCAAAAAGACCATCAACTATATTGATGACTACTCAAATCACAACTCTTTGAATCATTTTCATTCAGCATAGAGTTCTTAAAACTGCTCTCTGTAAAGAAAGAAAACCTACAATGATTTCTTACTAACCTTGAATATCTTCCTCAGCACCTAGTTGTAATTTTTTACCCATCATTTTATCAGTTTTTTCATCGTTAAATCTGTACCATGCTGAACCATCTTCTGATAGAATATGAGCTGTGTAATGTCCACTATAAGCACTTGGACCACTATGGATCAATACAGCCTTTAGATAATACAATGATGTATTCTCTGAAAATACATGATAACATTTTAAATAAATTTCAAATTCTAGTCAACTTCATAATTCAAGATTAGTGGCCAAAACAGTGCCTTTTGTCAGACAGTCTGGATCTGAATTGCACAAAATTCGAACTCGACCAATAATTACGGTTGACTCAACCATATCTATGGTGTAACAGCAATATAATTGAACAGTTTTTAAAATCAAATAAAGATTGTGACCACTCGAGGGTCCTCATATTAAAAACATGATTTTTTGTACAATCAGGGCCATAATGCAGGAAGTTACGGTCCAATATGTGGCAATATTGAAATTGTGGTTTAAAGGTGATGTATTTGAATGGTTTTTAAAATCAAATAAAGATTGTGTCCTCATATTAAAAATGTGATTTTTCGTACAATCAGGGGCTATAATGAGATATTTGGGATGTAAACATAATGTCTCAAATTTCACGTACAGGGAACGGCTATGTTGGTCAGTTTCGGTCCGATTTTCACGAAATTCAAACTCAACCATCATTTGAGGATCTACAAGCTAAAAACAAGAACTTTTGTACAATTGGGGGCCATAATCCCGGAAGTTACATTTTGATACATGGAAATATCAAAATGAACCGAGATCTTTGGGATACAAACATAAATTTTAAGTTTCATCAAAAACGGACCAAAAAAAGTGACCTCTTAGCTTAGAGTGTCCACAAGCTAAAAATGTGATTTTTCGGACAATCAGGGGTCATAATCCATGAAGTTACGGTTCGATACATGACAATATCGAAAGGAACCGGGATCTTTGGGATATAAACCTATTTCAAGTTTCGTCAAAATTGGAAAAAAATTGTGACCTGTAAAGTGTTCACAAACAAAATGTGAACGGATGGAAATGTGGGCGCATAAAATTGAAGAATGGGTGACAGCATTATCATGCTGTTACTATAACATTTTGCAACATTCACTTCAAGATTTATTTGTTTCAAGTATTTTGAAAAGGATGCTTTTCTTTGCGTAGGGATATTTCAAGACTGAGACAAAATGCAAGTAAGAATAAGTACAGTCATCTCTAGGCAGTATGAATAGCAATATCACTACTTACAGTATATAACTGAAATAAAATATAACAACAAACCTGGCTGTCCAAGGTATTTACTCATATCAAGACATTCTGGAAACTGTATAAAACTGTTGAGTTTTTTCTTATGTCCTGTTTTTTTATCGAAGACAAATCGTAATAATTGTAGATTTAATACTGGTGGTATTGTATCTAGTTTTATAGCACGGGTAGCATCCTGTTTCTGTAAACAGTATTTACACATATACTGGTTCTCTCCTTCTAAAACTTCTTCCTATGAAATATAATTATTCTCATCTATATTCTAAAACTTTTTTTTACTATAAACTATAATTAAACATGCATTATGCAAGAGCTAAATCTGATTATTGCAAGTCTTAATTTAGGCTTCAGATGTTATAGAAATTATAAATTAGATCTTTATTTAAACAACAAGACCAAAATCAACTCTGTAGACCCACGGATGGCTCGGCTACAGCTCGGATTTAAATAGGATTTCACTAATTGATTAAATCAAATAAGGGGTAACCTGATGAAAATACGTCAGTTAGATCGAGGCTAAATGATAGAGTGTACTTAGCGAGGCCACTGTAAAGCATTTCGGTATGCCATTGAAAACTTTACTTGATAATCGAGATATGTAGGTGGAGTTAACGCCTGTCAATCAAACGATCAGCGAAGGTGAAGACACAATTCGCTACCATTTCTGGGCAAATATTACAACGATGATAACTATGTTCAGAATAAAGTAATTTGATTGAATTTTTCAATATATTCTTCTTTCATCATCTACTTTTGAACTGTTATAGCAAGAATGGCCAACTCTCTATAAAAATCTCCCATAATGTATCTTTAAGTACATGGACGACAAATAATTTCCTAAAAGACCTTGTAACATTAAAGAGAAAGAGATATCGCACGAAAATAAATAGGAAGTTATTATCAAAAATCACTGAAAATCAACAGACATCTTTTAAATATACATTTCAGAAAGGTAGGCTTAAACATACATTATGCAAGAGCTAAATCTGCCTATTGCAGGTCTTTCTTTAGGCCTGAAATGTTATCTTAATTATTAATTAGACATTATTTAACATATCCAGACCATAATCATCTCTCAATATCACCTCCAGCCTGCGATGTTTACTGGATTAGGATACCATTTGCTGCTCCACTTTCATTCTTGATTTAATCATGAAATGGATAATCAAGACTATGTTTTATCGTACCGACTTTAGTAATGATGATCGAGGCTAGACCCAAAATTCAGAGTTGATCAATTTGACTGAAATTTTCAGCAAATTCCCTTTACATTATCTAGTTTTTAACTATTATAGTAAGAACTGCCAGCTCTTTATGTAATCTCCCATAATGTATCTTTAATATTGCAGATTATGAATTGCTGACAAGATTTTTCAACAAAGGGAGATAACTCTGGCATGAATATTGAAAAATGTTGAAATTCAATAGGAATCAAAGAATAAGTTGAGGGTTATTAGTAGTCTCTATTGAGCTAACAAAAATTGTGAACGACATATTGACAGAAATGAAGACAATATACAACCTATAACAATTTGAAAAAGTTATGCAGATTAATGTAGTCCCTAATATACTAAGAAGAAACTTGAACGACAGACTGACAGCAATGACGACAATATACGACCACATTAAATTGTGAATCCTAATAAAAATAGAAAGAGAGGAATCCAAAACCATTTGAATAACATAAAATTTGATGGGATCCAAGTGCTAATTATGAAATATATATAATAAACTGGATACAGTGACACCAGTAGGAGTAGTGGCTAATAACAAATCAATAGTTACTTTTCTTGTGCTTAAAACTTCATTTGTGTAGTTGTGTTCTCTGAGGAAGTAAGTTTTTACACTTCTGAAACATTTAAATGCTATAAAAGATGGTTTTGTGATACCCTTGACTATGTCTTTAACCACATTAAAATGTGAGCAGCATATAAAAATGATGGTACCATACCTGTAGGAAGTTATCTATAGCTTGATGTAAAGTTCTATGACCTTGTATGTTTAAATCTAATTCATAAAATGTAGAACCAGTCTTAGATTCACCTTTACATTTAGTACACCTGAAAAACACAAAAAAAAATTAAACAAATTAATTCTCTAAAAATATCACAATGTTTTTAAATTATTTGACCAAAATAAGACTCCTTCGTATGTTTAAATATTTTTTTTTTTATAAACAATGTTTAAATAGTTCAATCAAGGCAGACATATAATGACAAACCAAACCTAAGTTTATGTTCAGTTCATCACACAAGTTTACTAGATAATCAAATGGCTCACTTCATTTTCGTCCCCCATTATAGAGAGTGAAAAATGTGGTTTAACGTTCACTCAACATAAACTATGTCATTTCGGGACAATGTTATTTTGATAAATCACTTGCGGGTAGATGTCTTACTCTTTAACAGTGGCAGGAAACCCATTCGGTCCCCCGTATTATATAATTCCCAAAAAGTGATGTATTACAGTTGATTAATTCTAATTGGATATGCTAAAGCAATATGTGACTGATCACAATAAAGAACTTACGTGATAACATAATTATAATGTCCACGGAACTGATCCTGTATTATATTTAACTGAGAGGACTTTGACATGGCTTCCTCTAATAAATTCAGGAAAAGTTTCGAAAATTCTTGGGCATCCTGTTAAAACAAAATAAAAACAAGAAAAATCTTCTGATGAAAAAAATAGTTCTGATAGCTTTGAAATTACTTAAATTTAATATCTTGAATTGTAGAAAACATGAGCATAAAACACTAAAAGCTCCATCCAATTTAAAATTTAATTAGACAGTCCAGTTTACTCGGTCAGTGAGCTTATAAGAAGTGGAGGATACAATGTACAGACATCCTAATGCCGCAACCTCTGAATGACAAGTGTGGACCGGACTTCAAAATACCCAATGGATCTGTCAGGCCAAAATTCAATTCTGGGACATTCCAGATATCAGGGACAGTGGGCACCACTTATTAGGGGTACCTGTAAAACAAAATGGATGTACGGATGCAATATTATATATAGTTACCTGTTGTAGGGCTGTATCTAAACCAAGGTGATTTATAAAACTACTTGGATCTATATACCTGAAATCAAATATCACACATTTCAAATACAGCAGCAACTAGGCCTTATAATCTTAGTTGTTCATCAGTTGTCATTACATACAATAGAAGATTGGAAAAGGGTAAAATGAACTGATATCCGAAATCGTATAAAATACCCCCTGAGACGCACTAAATTTTCTTTGATATTGATGTTCTTTCTCCAAGGGTTCTTTGATCATAGTATTCTTACCAAATGTCAACAATTTTAATCAAAAACACACACCCTATGTTTTCTAAATTTTGATATTGAGTACAATATATCCAGCCACTTGGTGGTTCGTCATACTAATGCTGTGATAAAAATTACATTAAAAAGTCAACAAGCAAGGAAGTAATTAATCAAACATAAAATTATAATAATTCTATCTGTATGACAGGTAATATTAAAATTATGACAAGTTTTACCTTTTCTGTGTATATTTCAGTAGAGAAAATATAAGTTGTAATTGGCCACATATTGTAGATGGTGTCCAACTGTCACCTGTAATTATATACATTTATCTCAAATATGAAATGAAATGAGGTTTAACATCCTACTTTTCTGCACTGACTGGGCTAATGAAGACCGGCATATGCCATACAGTGTGCAATTCGGACAATTTTGCCCAGACAGTGGCACTACGGTCTCCTCTGATATCAAATTCCAACTGTAAAGGGTTCTTTTAAGTGCACAGCAACCTCAGGTTTCCGTACCATCCGAACAACTATACATTTTTCCGTGTTCCTGCACCACTGACAAAGGGAAACAATGCCAACACCTGGAGTGAACACAGACCTCCTGGTTAGCGTGCCAGCGTCTTACTCACTGAGCCCTTGTCCCTTCCTCATCTCAAATATTGTAAGGCTAGAATGAATGTTATCTGAAGGGATATGACATAATAAATGTGTAGTCGAATTAATTTGATTCATCACTGTATCTAATAATTGGCTTAAAAGAATGGTTTCTTGTAGTTTTAACATAAAAGTAAGACACTATTTACTAGATAATAACACCATTTTGTTAATCACAGTTAATTATTGTACTGTTTCAAGGCTGGTGTTTGTTACCTGACTTCAACAATGGCTGCTTAATATTCATTCCAATGTCTAGAGTAGGTACAACTTACTTATAATATCCGGTAAATCAGCATCTCTCCATCTAAATATAGCCTGTCTAACACAATGATTGTGATACCATAGTTGTAAAAACGTATTAACATAACATGTATTACCAAGATTCTTTAATCCAACATATGAATCCTAGAAAATAGAAAAATATTCATTCAATTCAAATACATTTTTCAACGATAACAGGGTCTTCTAAAATCTTAACACAAAGAGCTTTTCATGAGCTGCTATCAGAAAAAAAAAATACTGCAAGAGTCCCGAGTGTTTACTTGTTGCAACTAGTGAAACACTCTGAATATTTTTTATATTCTTACTAAGAAGGCATAAAAATTAAGAACATTTTGAAAAAACAGATGAACAGTACAAGGACACTTAAAGAGTTGAAAATGCAGATCATAGGTTTATCACCGATATGCAATCAAATGTTCATTCCTATGATTAATGTAAATTAAGTAAAGATAATCCAGTTTAAGCCTTCTACCAATTACAATGTTCTAAAGTGTCCATTAAAAGATATTCTCACCTTTTCTCTTTTCTCAAGTTCTGGGTCAAAGTCTGTGAATTTTCGTACATTAAGTTCTCCTAACCACTGTTTCTCCCCTATACCATTTAAGCACAACGGATTTCCACGACAATTTCTCCTGATGTAAAATAGACGGTTATGTAATTTAAAAGAAGAAATTTCTAATCTCCTTAAAGATGCAGTATGTAAGATTTAGATAATTACATATAATTAGATAATTGTTATAATAGATAATTCAAAATTTCATTCAAATTACTTTATTCTGAGCTAAGTTATCACTGTTTGAAGTTTTGACAAGATGTGGTATATCATATTTCAATCCATTTAAATATCTGCCATCAAATGGTCTATGGATTTGGTTATAGGTTTATCATGTGAATAAATAATAATTTATATAACATCTAAAGCCAAAATAAAAAATTGCAATAGGCAGATTTAGCTCCAGCATCTCTAATAAACTCTTGAGTAATTATCAGATTTTTTAGGTTTCTTCAACTCATTAACGTAAACATACATATCTTTTGGATCTTACGTATGTACTGCAGCAGTGGTGCAAAATATCGTGATCACAAAGTGTTATTGAAGATATGTAAGTAAAATTAAGATTTGAAAACTAAAAAAACAACAAATTTCCAGCATTTCCAAACATAATTAATCTTTCTAGAGTACATGTAGTCAGTAGGATTTCCGTGGTCTATATGCGCAAGCGAATTGTGTAAATAAAATTGAACCATGTGTTAGTCCCGAAATGACTAGTTTGTGTCGAGTGGACGTTAAACCCTATTTCTCTCTCTCTCTCTCTGTAGTCTGTACAGACATATTTATATGTAAGACTAAATTTAAATATTTTGAAATTAACCACATACTTGCAAGCGCCTTGACTACATGGTTTTAGGTTTAATCTGTATGCTGTTTTTATATGTTCATTAGTTACTTGATCTGGTTCTGTTGTGTCAGCCCATTTCCATGCTTCTTTATCCAGTTGTAGTTTGGGTGGCATTCTTGTTCTTGATCATTCCTGTATAATAACCAAACTTATTCAAAACATCTAGACTAATCACAAAATGATGGTACAAACAATACTGTTTTAATTTTCTAACCATCTAACATTTAACAACACAATTTGCCAAGTTTTTCGATTAGAAATGATATGGGTTTAACGTCCTACTATGTTATGAGGGAAAGTTTGCACAGACAACTATGTATTGCTATGGCCTACAGAATTCCATTTCAGGCGGATATAAAAAAAAAATCCTTGATAATTTAGTATAGTAATTGCCATAACATTATTGAAACACCCAGTACTAAACTTAAAAGTGACAATCAGACAGACCTTGCGTCTTGTGGATTTCTCTTCATTCACTTTGAATTTTGTTTCGTTCGTAGTGTAGGCCAGTGTCATGAGTATCGATAGATTCAGACATTAGATTAGGCTAGTTCATTCCAAAACAAAATGACAAATGTCATTTTCGACCTTTATTTTTCGTGTATCATCTTATCGGGATATCTGATTAGACCGATTTTAAAATGGACAGACTGTAATGTGTTCTATTGATAACTAATACAAACCAAACTTCAACAAAAATACTAATTTAATTTGACATCGTTTCTATTCGGCGCTAAAACAAAAGTTGGACCGAATAAATTTTACATGATGTAAATTAATGACACGGACTTGGTAAAAAATAGTTGGAAAATTTCTTCTAATATTGAACTCTCCTTGAGAAATATTCGTCTACGACTAAAGAATTATATCAAATGATAATTTCTGCCTTGAAATCTTAAACGATGATGACGTTTTTTTAAAGTAATATTGGTAAAAAGTTGTATGGAATCCAAGTCTTTATATTGAACTAAGTGGGTAAAGGCAAAATTTCAACACGTAATTTTTGACGACACGAAATAATCACAATCTGTGGACACGATAGGCGGTGGTCAGTTAATTATTAGTTATACCCTGTACTGTAGTGCAGCTCGTTTAAATTTGTTGGAGTTACTATCATGCATTTATAAAAGATAGATACATGCACTGACCTAATGGTAAGTGCAGGAGGACCGCACTACATCCATAACAAGGCAAACTGCATAGACATTGCAATGCCAGAAATAACAATAATTTGAACAAAATATCAAATCAAAGTTCTTGCTTAGTCTAATCAATTCTTGCATAGCCAAAAGGTTACAATTATGAGATAAAAATGACTAGACCTCTTTTGAGATGGGCATTATGGTACATAAATATTTGGGTCTGCTGAAGACAAAAAATTAAGCTGTTAATTAAGGATTGATCTGATGGTGTTCCACAGTCGAGACATACCGGTAGTATGTATACAGTATAGTCATAGTGGGCTTTCGTAAGCCAAACTTTAAACTAACATTCCACTTTATTTTTCGAAACAAAGCATCTTGTTTATAAAGCTTTTCCCATCACATGAGATCATATATACTTTATTTTGAGCTAAATGAAAGAGGTTTGACTTTTTTAAAGTGTGATTTAACATGGATCGATGCAGGGAGGGGTTGAGCAATTCAGAAATTAAAAGCAGACCGTTGTTTGGCGCAGAATGATAGTGATTCTGTATATATATTGCCGACCTCAGAAGACATTTTCAGAATGTTTTCAACTGAGTTGCTGATTAGGCTACCTTATAAGCCTTACTGATAGCCCACCCTTTTTGGCAAATGTTTGTCAACTACCAATTTTATGAGTATATTTCTGTTTTCAGGAGATGAATGAGAGATAAGTAAATAGACTAGAAGAGACCGTAAAATGTTAAGTCCAGGTTCTCTGTTACAAACAGAATGGTATAAAACTAGAGAAGGTCAAGATATGCTGGCTCCGTTATTCCATAGAGATGGTTTTAGCAGGAAAACATTTGGTATGAATTATGATGCAAGAAAGTTTTTCTAATGTGAAGCTCATATATCTACATGTGGTACTGGTAGTTCATTCCAGATACCCCAATTCATTTTTAAAAAATTATATTGATATGTTCACTTGACGATCGATATCAGCTATATATTTAAAATATTTGATGACTTATTTTCTTGACTTTAGTAAACACTTACAATTTATTATAGCAGTACTGTAAGTTAAATTGTTCTCTTAGCCTAACTGTTCCTAATGTCACAATCAATTAAGTTATTAATTACTAAGTTGCATCTGTATTTGATAACCATGATATAATCTAATCAAGGCCCAACATTCCAGACTAAAGGTAAACACACTTTATACCATACACACTAAAATATAAAAATAGTTTCACTTTTCAACTTTTTTACGTTTTATTGTGTATGGTTTAACATTAATAATATTGATCTATCCTGCCTAACATAAGTTATGTTCATTTAAAATGCACATTTCTTTATACCAGTAATTGATTTCATGCCTCCATCTTTAATTATGGATGTCCAGGTGTGAGTTTGACCCATTTTCATCCACAAACATCGAGACCAATACGAAAATGAAATGAAAATGGGTTTAGCGTCCTACTGTTCTGCTTCGACTGGGCTAGTGAAGATGGGCATACGCGATACAGCGTGCTATAAAGGAAATTTTGCCCAGGCAGCGGCACTATTACCTACTCTTATATCGAATTCCAACTGCCAAGGGATCTTTTATGTGCACGCCAATGTATGCATCGGACCTCGGTTTTTCGTGCTATCCAAACGACTAAACAGCTGTCCTTGTCAGACCCTCCATCCTGCACCACTGACAAAGGGAAACCACGTCGGAAAATCATGCTGAACTTTCAGGCCAATGCAGAGATAGAACACGGGACCTCTATGAAGGAAATTTTGCCCAGGCAGCGGCACTATTACCTACTCTTATATCGAATTCCAACTGCCAAGGGATCTTTTATGTGCACGCCAATGTATGCATCGGACCTCGGTTTTTCATGCCATCCGAACGACTAAACAGCTGTCCTTGTCAGACCCTCCATCCTGCACCACTGACAAAGGGAAACCACGTCGGAAAATCACTCTGAACTTTCGGGGCCAATGCAGAGATAGAACACGTGACCTCCAGGCTAGCATGCCAGCGTCTTACCCACTTAGCCACTATGGCTCCCCGAGACCAATACTGTTTCCAGCTGAAGTTTTCTATTTTAAAATCCTGGCACATAACAATTGCATCTTTAACCAATATGATATTAACAGATCTTAGTTTTATTTCATTTTGTGTATTTAATTCAAGTTTATTAAGAAGACCAAGCCACCCACCCAAAAGATCTTTGTTTGAATTTATTTTTGTGTGTTAAATTCAGGTTTATGAGAAAGACTCAAGTTGTCCACCCATTAAGGTTTTTTTTTTATTTCATTTTGTGTATTTAATTCAGGTTTATTAGAAAGGCCAAGTTATCCCCCCAGTAATCCACCAGAAGAAGTTACATATAAATTATTTATGGTTGGTAAATCAAGTGTTGGTAAGACAAGCACTGTCTGTAAACTAGGTGGTTATTCCATTCCAACAACACACAGTGAAACACCAGGTTAGTAGAAGGACAGATGGGAATGGTTTCGGTGTAAACATGTATTATGCACTGTTTGTAGGGATATGTCATAACATATATGGAGAGTAAAATGTGAAAAGGGTGAATGTTGCACACTGTGACACTGAAAACTATTTATGGAATAACAATTACTGGTTAATTAACATGCAACATTTTGACAATGATACCATGGATTTGAGCTTTTCTTTTAAATAACCGGGGCATTAAGGGAAGTTGAACTAAGTATCAATATCTGAGTTGGGATTGGGGTAGTAGGTGTGGTATCTACTATATATGGTAGTCAATTATTTGAGACCCAGTTTCAGGCCCTAGAAGGGGTATCGGCAGACCACCATATCTATACTCATTTCTTTCTACCTTGTTCAACTAACCCAAAGGCAAGGAGCTGCGGAAATGTGGCGATTAATACTTGCCACAAATGCAATTGTAACAGGAAATCTTATAGTCTGGTTCTGGCAGAGATAAATGAATAAAGCGAACCCATGTACTAATAATAATAAAAAATGCATCAAGGGGAATAACTCTGTCCATGTTTATTATATTTTACAGGTGTGCAGGTATCAACTGTTTACTGGCCAACTAGAATAACTCAACTTAATAAAGTATTCTTATTTAAACTTCAACTTTGGGATGCTGGTGAAAACTCACTCAAAAAATTTGATCATATTTTAAGTGTAAGTAGACCTACCGTTATATATTAGACGCTCTGCAGTATGCTATTGTGGTAGCTCATGGTCAGTGTACCACATGCCCAAACTGTTTTGACAGTAGCTGCAGACGTAGTGTATGCTTGCTCTTTATTGAATAATACCTCATATCACTTACCATTTGGTTCATCTGTGGGGTTTTGAATAATGTTGTCGTGCAGTAAGCTTATCGATCCCAAAGTATTCAATTAACATTTGAACTTAATATTCACTGTGTATTGTTATGTTCTGCCTAGTGGGTTCATGGATAAAAAGACTTGTTACTTTTGAAAATACTGGGTTTCTCTCAGTAAATCAAATTTTTGAAATACAAGTCATACAATGACCTGTTTAATGGTGAGTGGACATTAAACCCCATTTCAATCTAATTGACATAGATTACAATTTTGTTCTGCTTATTTATTTTTTCACACAACATTGTAATCTAACTATCATTTTTATACGCCCACATGGAAATGTGGTCGTATATTGCCGTCGCTCCCGTCCGTCTGTCGGTCCGTCCCTCGTTTACAATTTCTTGCAAACACTCTACAGACTACATTTATCATCTGATTGTTTTGAAATTGATATATGTTGTTTGCATTAGTGAGATGAAGAAGCCTATTTAATTTCAATAACTTCCGTTAATTTCATCTAGAGTTATGGCCCTTGTTTCACTTTGTTGCACCTTGTGAACGCTCTAACGACAAAAGTTATCAACCGATCTGTATGAAATTTATATGCATCATTTAAATTAGTAAAACAAAGAAGCCTATTGAATTTCAGCAATTTCCGTTAATTACATCTAGAGTTATGTCCCTTTTTTCACTTTGTTGAATCTTGTGAACGCTCTAATGACAACAGTTATCATCCGATCTGTTTGAAATTGATATGCATCATTTTAAAGTAGTGAAACGAAGAAGCCTATTGAATTTGAGCATTTTTCGTTAATTACGCCGTGAGTTATGGCCCTTGTTTCACTTTGTTGTACCTTGTGAATGCTCTAACGACAAAGTTATTATCCGATCTGTATGAAATTTATATGCATCATTTAGATTAGTAAAAGAAAGAAACCAATTGAATTTCAGCAATTTCCGTTAATTACATCTAGATTTATGGCCCTTGTTTCACTTTGTTGCTTCTTGTGAACGCTCTAACAACAAAAGTTATCAACCGATCTGTATGAAATTTATATGCATCATTTAAATTAGTAAAACAAAGACACCTATTGAATTTCAGCAATATCCGTTAATTACATCTAGAGTTATGGCCCTTGTTTCACTTTGTTGAATCTTGTGAACGCTCTAATGACAACAGTTATCATCCGATCTGTTTGAAATTGATATGCACCATTTAAATTAGTGAAACGAAGAATCCTATTGAATTTCAGCAATTTCCTTTAATTACGCTCTGAGTTATGGCCCTTGTTTCACTTTGTTGTACCTTGTTTATGCTCTAACGACAAAAGTTATTATCCGATCTGTATGAAATTTATATGCATCATTTAGATTAGTAAAACAAAGAAGCTTATTGAATTTCAGCAATTTCCGTTAATTACATCTAGAGTTATGGCCCTTGTTTCACTTTTTTGAATGTTTTGAACGCTCTAATGACAACAGTTATCAACCGATCTGTTTGAAATTGATATGCATCATTTAAATTAGTGCTACGAAGATGCCTATTAAATTTCAACAATTTCCGTTAATTACACCATGAGTAATGGCCCTTTTTTCAGTTTGTTGTACCTTGTGAATGCTTTAACGACAAAAGTTATTATCCGATCTGTATGAAATTTATAGGTATCGTTTAAATTAGTAAAACGAACAAGCCTATTGAGTTTCAGCAAATTTCCGTTAATTACATCTAGAGTTATGGCCCTTGTTTCACCTTGTTGAATCTTGTGAACGATTGAACGACAAAAGTTATCATCCAATCTTTATGAAATTCATATGCTTCATTTAAATTAGTGAAATGATGAAGCCTATTGAATGTCAGCAATTTCTTTCAATTACTTCTAGAGTTATGACCCTTGTTTTACTTTGTTGAACCTTGTGAATGTTCGAACGACAAAAGTTATCATCCGATCTGTATGAAATTGATATGTATTATTTGGATTAGTAAAACGAAAAAATCTGTCGAATTTCAACAATTTCTGTAGATTACTTTCAGAGTTACAGCCCTTGTTTTAGTTTTTAGAACCTTGTGAACCCTTAAACGACGAAAATTATAATGTCATCTGTATGAAATTGTCTATTAAATGCCCCCTAATTACCTGCAAAAGAACAAATATACGACAACTCTTGTCGACCGCTCGGACGATTTAGCTGCTGTGGGCGTATGTTTAGTTGCCTGGCAACCTATCTTACTTTCTGTCATAAAGGTGTTCTGCCAGGAGGATTAATATATGTGCCAGACAATTGTATTTCAAATAATTATAATTCCCAAATCACTCCGAAACCAATATAGGCTTTCCAATATTTCACCACAAGACTCACCCCTTTATAATACCAATATAGACAGTTTAATGTCAAAAGTTTATGTCATCTGAATGCCTTCTTCAAACAAAATATGTTAAATGTTTATAGTACAACATAAAAAAAGAGAACACACAATTAACATGTGAGTTTAAGCACATTGGACCCCAATATAAGTTTTTCAGTCATAATTTCTATTGTGTCAAGCAAAACAATGTGTAATCGTGGATCTTTTTTTTTCAGTCGTGTACAGACAAGACAGATGGTATTTTATTCCTTTTCTCATTTATAGATAAAGGAAGTTTTGAAGAATTACCTCAGTTTCTAACTAAACTCACTAATCCTGGTGATAATTTATGTAAAATAGTCTTAGGTACTAAGTATCCTTTATAATAAATGCAGCAGTTTAAAACAACAGAGTTTCACACATTTCTTATGTAAAAATGCATTCCCACGGAAGTATTTATAGGGTAGTCATTTAGAGACACATAATCTAATTAGAAAAAATACCCTGAAATACACACATGGGGTACACACAGGACAAAAATGTAAGGGTATCACAAACAAGCAGGCTGTCTGCTCGCGTGGCATAGGGTGCACTTGGTAATAATGTGTTGATCGAATTGCTAGCCATTGTGAGAGCAATGAAAGACTTTAAGCGTACAACAAATACAAGTTAAAATTGATCCTCCATTCAGTCATGTAACCTAACAAACATGGCTGCTTAAAATATATTTTTACGGCTCGGGGTAGTTCATTGCAATTAAAATGTTTTGAAAGGGATTTGAAGCAAACGTTTGATAGATCCTTTAGTGTTTTAGTTGAAATATATCATGGGAAGGCATCTATAAGTTTTGATTGAATCAAAGTATTGAATATTTTTCAGAAATTAAACGACCTTAACATGTATTTAGATTTGATCAACATGCTCATAGTGAAGTAACACAACGAGACATCCGTGACTTTGAGAGCACATGGAACATTCCAATTCTCCGCATTAAAAATGTGCCCCATTATAATCAAACTGAAGCTGAGAATGAAGTGTCTGAGTTAGTGCCCATATTAAATACAATATGTGAACATTTGTGGTACAGAGATATTGTCACTGCACAACAAGAAAAGGCATACTTTTAAAGTATAGACTTGTTTATAGTTAATTATTTTTGTGTTCGATTGAAGCTGTTCTGTTTTATATTCAGCTTCTGTTAATTACAATTCTGGTCAGATTTTGAAACAGGATTTACTATTATGAAGAAGGATGTAGATCTCCAAGTTTACTTGAATGTTACTAAAGAAGGGACCAGTCAATGAAGATGTGTCCGGGACTTCCATCGCAAGGAAATATGAGATGTGTTGGATGTCCAGGATAAGCAACACAATCAACAGAAGTAATTATTAACAGCACGATTTGTTATTCATTTTTACACCATAGCCCTCTTTTACATATTTTGTACTTGAACTATGTATAGCTATACTGTCATTAATTATATATATTATTTACCATGTCAATTTCATTTTATAAATACCAGACCTAATTATGTATTCATTAGAGTTCCCCACTCCTCTCTTTCTTTACCATCATATATACCAGTTATTGTTTTGTATTTTTGGAATTACATGAAGTTCTCCCTCCACTGACTTGGGGAACTTTCTCTGCCGACACCAGGATCAAACCTGTGACTTTCTGGTTATCGAGCCAGCACATTACTGAGACACTCAAAGGTATATGTGGAATTCAGTGCAATGTTAGTGTTATATATTATTATACAAATTTTCAGTTACATGTGAGTTTTGGGCCAAATGCCTTAAATGAACAAAATTCATTTCCATTTAGAATCCTTTCTTGGTTTTCAATTTCTATATACACTCGTTATGCATATGAATTTCACCAGAAAATCAGATATTTAAAAAATTGCAAATTCCTTTATTGACAATGATAATAATATGCTATGATAATGATATAAAAATTCAGTTTGTTTTATATTATATACAACATGACATCAAGTTAATTATTATTTTATGAATAAAACAATAAATTCATTGAAACAAAAAAAAAATGTAAACCCTTCATTTTTAAAAATAGCTTATTTATCATTTAATGACAAAAAAGAAAATCCAGAAATGAACACACATTCGTTGCCAATAGTTCCATTTAACCCTCCATCCCGATATCACCAATGTATCATTTACTAAAGAGTTCCTGAATACAAGAGATCAAAGACCTATACATGTAGATGCTGCAGACTCCCAAAAAAACACTAGCACAATACAGATGCAGATTTGTACACAGTTAATGAGTTTGATTGAATTGAATGATTTCACTTGATCGTTCAACTTTTATCTCCAGATGCACCTGACCCACTGAAAAACAAAATTATAAATTTAAATATACGCTTAAAGAATTTCTAATTTAAAGATAGCTTACAAAAGTTTTGACTCCAAAAAAAAAATGGCAAGAGAACAATATGCTTGGGGATATTTGTACACTGGATCACAGAAAGAAGACAAATCAAGCAGTTTAAATTGATAATCTGATTTGTGTTTTAAGAAATGAAATGAACTGAAATGGGGTTTAACGTCCTACTCCTATGCTGAGCTAATGAAGACGGGCATATGCCATACAGTGTGCTATGAGGGAAATTTTGCCCGGGCAGCGGCACTATCACCTACTCTTATATCAAATTCCAACTGCCAAGGGATCTTTTACGTGCATTTCAATGTATACACGGGACCATGATTTTTTGTCTAATCCGAAAGACTAGACAGCTGTCCTTGTCAGACCCTCCATCCAGCATCACTGACAATGGGGAACCACGCCAGAAAATCTGGATGAACTTTCTCGGCCAATGCAGGATCGAACATCCGACCTCCAGGCTAGCGAGCCAGCGTCTTACCCACGTTATTCCCGATTTGTGGTTTAAGACCAGTGCAAAATCAAAATTGAAAGCTTATGCATCAAATAATACCTACCCAGCAACTGGTTCGTCTTCAATATCTTCACTAGTAATGGTTGCAGGTGCTGAGTTTTCTTTGTCTTTTTTACCATTTATGAAGAAATTTGTGATGCCTTTCTGCCATTGAGGTGTTGGTCGGGGACAGACAGGATTGCCACCACCATATTTGTTACCTACAAATTAAATGTTTTCCAATACAATTAAAATCTGTGCGAACCAAACGGTCAAATGTATATGCAATAATCAACTACACATGCATGTAACTCTAGCGTTAAAGAATTTTGATTTACTCCACATTAATGAACAAAGATATATTTCTTGGAAACTGGTTCTGTCTACCCTTACAAGGTCAGAGGTTATTATAATGAACTTAATGTTTTGTACTACAGATTAAACAATACTGGTTGTTCTTTGGGATGAGACACCAGTCACACCCACTCGGCAAACCTCGGGAGATTCCGGTACCCTACATCTAACCTCGGCTGTATGATCTTAATTGATATGTACCTACGCCCATACATTTGCGATGCGACTACCGGTTTACTTTAACAGGAAAACGTGCCGCTTTTACAAAAAAGTCCCAAAATGGCGTCTTTTGTCGAGTGTATATAACTAAACGAGCAGAGATATTGTCTCAAGGCTGCTGGTTTGATATAATTCCCTGGTAATTCCCCAAACCCAATGCCAAACTTGACGTTTGTTGATATAATATACTCCCCACAGAAATCTGCATGGGCGCAGCCATTTTTCATCCGGGGCCTTTGAAATAGTTCCAATATGGCGGAATTTGTCATACAGTCGAGATTAGATGCAGAGAATCTGTCGAGGTTTGCCGAATGCAGTCACACCACCATGGAATGCCAATAGACAGCTTCACTTCCAGTCTGTCCTGGTTAGCCACTAGGATAACTAATATTTATAGTTCATTATGTGCTACCTATAATTTTATCACTTGCATTTTCTAGTATAAGATTTTACATGATGTTACATAAACCTAGCCTAGCAGTCACCTAGTTGATCTGCAATATGACAAGATTATTTTCCATTGAAACGATGTGAAGTTCAAAGGCTTCTTAAGCCAAGGCATAATGTATGCTAACAAAGAGGAAATTAAAAGCCTAAGAATGCTTCTGCGGGTTCCCAAAAAAGAGATTGTGTCCCTGTTTTTTTTATTTTAGGTAGAATTTAATCATCATATACTATTCAAAAAAAGTAGGGGATATTTGATTTTTAAGTGTTATTAAAGTCACCTAATGAAACTGACGAAGAAACAAATGACAAAATGAAATGAAGTTCACATTCATCGATTTATTCCAAATGATCGTTAGACTAAGTAAGGCACAGACTGACCATTATAAGGGTAAAATGATACCCGGGGTCAAACAGCAAAGTTACCACAGCATCACAACCAAGTCAGTAACGGGTAAATCCTCCTCTGTTTGCCAAACAAGCATTGATCCGACGTGGCATACTCCTAATGAGACGTCTAAGGTCATTTTGGTCCAGATTGTCCCATTCCTGTTGCAACGCAGCAGCAAGTTCTTGGACATTGGCAGGACGTTGTTGACGTTGCCGTAACCTCTGTCCAAGCATGTCCCAGACATGCTCGATGGGGGAGAGGTCGGGACTCAGTGCTGGCCAAGGTAATGTGGTGATGTTCTGTTGTTGGAGGTAACCTGTAACGATCCTGGCCCTGTGACATCTTGCGTTGTCATCCTGGAAGATGAAACGGCGGCCATGACGTCGTGCGAACGGCACAACATGGACTGCCAAGATGTTGTCCCGGTAGTACTGGCCTGTAACACGCCCTGCAACAACATGTAAAGCCGTTCTTCCAGCAACAGTGATGCCTCCCCACACCATAACAGAACCACCCCCAAATCGATCATGTCTGATGACGTTAACGTATTGGAAGCGCTCGTTTCGACGACGCCACACCCTCCTACGTCTGTCCAAAAAATCAACAGTGAACCTTGACTCATCTGAAAACATCACATTGCTCCAGCGTCGATTATCCCAGTGTTGACGATCCCTACACCAACGACGTCTTGCCTGAATGTGATGATCTCTCAAACAAGGGATCACGCGAGGACGTCGGGCGCGAAGGTGACCCCTATGCAGTCGATTCCGAATCGTCTGGCCACTCACTCTCACACCAGTGTCTGTTTGAAGACGAGCGCTGATCTGATTTGCTGTGATGACACGATTTCTCAAGGCCAAGGTACGGATAAATCGATCCTGGGCTTGAGTTGTCGCCCTTGGTCGACCTGAGCGTGGTCTGTCCTGTACAGATTGTGTATCACGGTATCTGGACCATAGCCTGCTTATGACAGACTGAGAAACATTCATCGTCCGCGCCACAACCGCCTGTGTTGTGCCGATCTGTAGCATGCCAAGGGCACGTAACCTTTCATTTTGGGTAAGCCGACGCATATCAAAATTTGTTTTCTGGTCACTAAAACAATTAAACTGATGTTTCCACCCTGGAATTCAATGCCACAATGACTGTAACATTCAAAGTCAGAGTCGTGCAAATCTTGGGTTGGACCCCCATGATGATCCCAAGCATCACCTGCATTCCATGCGGTAGCTATTGGTGCGTTTGGGCGTCACATGTAGCTGGAAATGTTTCTTCTGTTAGGTTCTATAGTGACTTTTTTCGTAGTCATTTGCATATTTTAGTATTATGCCCCCAAAATCAAATATCCCCTACTTTTTTTGAATAGTATATTTGAAAGCAAACTGAATGTCTCTAGTTAAAAGTATTTTATAAAAGTCTCCTTGTTCCGAACTTTACAGAAAAGAAAAAAAATAGGTATATTTACCTGAAGGAGAAGAGCCATCTGCTGCTGTTGATGTACTGCTGCCTAATGCTTTTCTTGGAGCCCTTGCTGCTACAGCTGTAAAAGAAAACAATCTTTTGTGAAATTGATGTGAGGTTTGGTTTTCTGTTTTAAGTCGATGTTCAAATTACATGTCATTGCAATTTAATCTACTGATACTAGACCTTTCTATCCTTTCTATGCTTGTCTAGGTTAAAGGAGGCAAGCCGCAAACTCAATATCATCCACAGTCTTTGACATTGCAAACACGACTTATTGGTCCATTTAAATCAACATTGATGTATCTTACTGGTAGTATCTTACCGTGAAAAGATGGGCTTCTGATAATCAATATTTAAAGTAGCTAAGTCTCTAACTCAATATCATCCAAAATCTTCAACATTGAAAACACGATTTATTTGTCAAATTAAATCAACATTCATGTTGTGATCTTACCAGAAAAAGATGGGCTTTTGATATCCAATATTTAAGACAAAATAAACATTTTACCATTGGTACACGAATCGTGTACCATAATGCGCTTCAGCCCCAGTTGTAACAAGAGACTCGAGGGACGAGGCTAGACACATTGCACCAAATCAAACGGCGTATGTTGACTGGAATAACCAGACCCTAGAAATTTGCACTCGCTTGAGACGGCTGGCTTATTTCGCCGAACATAGATGATTTGAAATTGGAGTAAAAACGGAAACCATTGAATGTTAATCAGTTTAAATTCATTCATATTACAGTATTATATGCGTTGTTACCCACTTTTGTCAATTTCTAGGTCCCAAATGTTAGCGATTTAGCTCCTTTAAGACGAAATGGAAATTTTAAAATTGGCACACGACTTGCATGTCAGAATGCTTTCGAGTGCCATTTGTAATGAAGCAACGATGAACAGGGCTAAACATATCCCAAAAAAGAATACTACCGGTGTAGACAGGAATAACCAGACATCAAAGACTCTTTGAGTATTTCGCTGAACATAACTGATACAGTAAAAACAGAAATTGATTGTAAATCTGTTTATACATTCAGATTACAGTACCAGTAAATTATTATTATGCTTTACAATCCATTTCTATCTAACTGCCAAAGAATAGGAAACTAGCTTCTTTAATTACAAATCTGGGATAACATGTACGGATAAATATCAGTAACAATAAATGTAAATGAAAAGTCATGTGTGCAAATTCTGTACAAAATCCATAAATTCAGTACCAAACCATCTTAGCTAACCTAGTGAAAACATTTCATTGAGAAACTTGGCAGAACAACTTCAAAATCTGGCCTAGAAGTAGAACAACAAGACCAACTATATTGAAAAGATAATCCTGAACAATTCCAATTTAAATTTGGCTTAATTAAACCTTCTAAACCATTTCTGGTTCCATATGTTACATGTATTTTTTTTTTTTTTTTTTTGTGAAATCTCATAAATTGGATGGTAAAAACGATTTTATGCACATTAATTGATTATGCAAGTTGGTGTTTGCAGCACAGATAACTGAAAATTTGGAATGTTCAAGAAAACAAAGTACCGGTTAACTACATTTACTGGTACTAGTGGTACTATTTATTAAAGGCTTTTTTATTGACTTGCCAAATCGATTTGAATTTAGTGGAGATGTCATGTGACAGTATAATAGTTGATTTCAAAGTACTTTGGCGAGTTCGTTAAATGCTCAGATTAGCTGTAAACATTTGTTGTGGCTGGACACAGTTGAAAAAAACATGTGATCACCCGATCAAATCGCTCTGTGAAGTAATTTGGCGATTTGATGTAATCGCTTCGGAAATCGGTGTCGATAAATTCGTTGATTATTAGGGTAGGCTAACCAATTTGAATTAGATGGACGTTAAAGATGAAAATTTGATTGAATGCAAATCACCTTGGCTAATCAGTGGTCGATAAAAACGCATATAGTGTAGTACTAGTAGTAGTTGCAGTTATCAAATTTTGCGTTGAAATTTGACAGTTGAGTTAAAAGGCATATATTATTATTTATATAGATCGATGTTGATGTTGTTCAAGTTATTTTTGTGACAGCTTCGAGTTTGAGATTTGTGTCGACAGGTTCATTTAAATCATCTTGTCCATCAAAATCAGTTAAATATGTTAATAATGTTATATCAGTACTAGAAGTGGCTCTTTCTCATCCCCGGACATGAAACAAGTTGAACAACTTTTGGAGTGGAGAGGTCCAAAAAAACATTAATATATCTCGAATGAATAATATAAATTTGTTCTAATATGACTGTGGTTAAATTTTATACCTTTCCTGGTGGCTGATCCACCACCGCAATCTGCTTTAGTTCGAACCATTTTGAGGTAGTTTTATTCAGATTAACTTGGGTTAGTTTGGCTTCTCTGTTTACCCGCCTTCTTCAATGAATGGATTTCCCGCGATAATTATAACTTCCGGGTCGCTAGTCTCTATCATCCAGACAAATATTCTCCGTACGTTGAAGACTAGGGGGTTTAGGGTGACCGAGACTACCGGGTCGCTGGTTATTTTCGACTTGATCAAACAGTCACATTTCACTCATGTCTACGTTACATATTTGACTGGATGACAAAGACAATTTCCGGGCGGGAATATCAAAAAAGAGTTTTGTGATGATAGATGATTACCGATCAAGATCGACTAAATTATTATACAAGAGCACGTAGCGGTAAAATAATTACAGTTTAGAAATGATCGGATCAGATGCAGAAATATTTCCTAATATTTGCACAGAATATAACGATACATTCACGAGTAAGTTTGAACTGAAGTAGAATTTCGTGACATATTCTGTCATGTGCGGGGGGGGGGGGGGAGAGAAAACCCATTATTATGGAATGTGATGCACTCTACTCCTCGTCACGTAGATCTACTCTGTACTTGGGATCAATCATCAAGTCCAAGCAATCTAAATTATTTTTTTTAATTTTAAAACAATATAAAGAAACTAATTTGTAATATATTTTCAGATAAATCCGAAGATGATGTTTGTAAAGAAAAGAAGTCTGTTTATTCTGTAAGTGTAGGTGTTATTAAAGCGACATTATGGAAGTTTAGATAAAGAGCTGACAGTTCTTGTTAAAATAGTTAATAAAAATAGATAATGTAAAGGGAATTGAATATATTCTAAAAATTTCAGCTTCTTAGCGATGGATTGGCCTAAGCAGTCCAATATTTACATGTACAATGTGATTAGTGACTGGAAAAGATCTCCAAAAGCGCTAATTTCACTTTCAATTACAAGACCACACAGAGCATGTTGTGTTGTTACTATCATGGTATGGTCTTGAAATACAGACTTGAATCGGATGCATTATGTCAGAAATTTTAATGATTATGTTTTTGTAGCTATAAATTTTTTTTATTTTCCAGGTAGCTGTAGAGGGAAATATTGGCTGTGGAAAATCTACATTTTTGAATTATTTTAAAAAGTTTCTAAATGTTGAAGTAAGTAGTTCCTAATTATAATATACTAATTTAGTTTTGCTTTCCATTTCAAGGAGCTAACCCTGATTTATATTTTAAGTAATTTAAGATTTTTGAAAAATGAGATTTTTATTTGTTATATGGATGATCTTTTACTATGTTTGAGGTGAGAGAGATCTTTTACCTTGTTATAGGTGAGAGAGAGACTCCACTCGACACCTTGAGACTAATAATTTGCTTGTGTATAGGCGCTTTAGCCTTAGCAGTGGAAAGAAACTTGAGGACCCACAAGGTTAGGCTGGTGACCATTCTCCTTGTCACAATCAAGCTAGGGATTGAAACCTCAACTCTTAAGAAGTCTTCTAAAACCGACCTTAATTCATGGCAAAATGATGACTCTTTTGTAATTTTATTTATTTATTATTGTTGATTATTATAGGTTTTAGTTGAACCAGTTGAAAAATGGAAATGTATAAGAGGTTTTAATAGTTTGGTAAGTAGACTTGTTAATATCAAGGAGGATCACGTGGCTAAGTGGGTAAGACGCTGGCTCGCTAGCCTGGAGGTTGAGTGTTCGATCCCTGCATTTGCCGAGAAAGTTCATCCAGATTTTCCGGCGTGGTTTCCCCTTGTCAGTGATGCAGGACGGAGGGCCTGACAAGGACAGCTGTCTAGTTGTTCGGATGGCACGAAAAACCAGGGTCCCGTGTACAAATTGGCATGCACGTAAAAGATCCCTTTGCAGTTGGAATTCAATATAAGAGTAGGCCGTAGCGCCGCTGCCCGGGCAAAATTTCCCTCATAACACACTGTATGGCGTATGCCCATCTTCATTAGCCCAGGTTAGAAGCAAAACAGTAGGATGTTAAACCCCATTTCATTTCATTTCATTTGTTAATATCAATGCTTCCGGCGTGGTTCTCTCTTGTCAGTGATGCAGGACGGAGGGGCTGACAAGGAAAGCTGTCTAGTCGTTCGGATGGGACGAAAAACCGAGGTCCCGTGTACACATTGGCGTGCACGTAAAAGATCCCTTGGCAGTTTGGAATTCGATATAAGAGTAGGCCGTAGTGCCGCTGTCCGGGCAAAATTCCCTCATAGCACACTGTATGGCGTATGCCCGTCTTCATTAGCCCAGGTTAGGAGCATAACAGTAGGACGTTAAACTCCATTTCATTTCATTTCATTTAATATCAATGCCCTACTCACAAAATTAATATATGTACTTTTCTTTCAAAGCTATTTATATCCCAACTCCATGAGTCAATCCCCCTCCCCATGTAAAACAGTTATCATAGGACTATATTTCTGAAAATTGTGATTCTAATGTGATGGATATGGCAGAATCAAGTTTTGTCAGCTCCAACAAAAAAAATTAATGTCTTCTAATTTTGTTTGCTTACAAATGGAATTTTACAAAGTAATTTAATTGTTCTAGGATCTGATGTATAAAGATGCCACCAGATGGAGTTCAGCGTTTCAATCATACGTCACATTAACCATGTTACAGAATCATCATTCATTAAAGGTGAATCTTTTTAAATAATCGTACCATTCACAGATGAATGTAATCTTAGGCAACACAAATAAAATAAGTTGTTTCTCGGGCACCGCCCGCACGCAAAATTGGTTGCGCGTGCGGCCTATTTATTAGTCTTGATGAAAAATAAAAAATATGTAACGCCCGCCCGAACATCGATAAGCAAGTCATAAAAAAAATATGCCGCATGTATCTACATGCCCCATACGTGAATATCCATTCAAATGTATTAAACTGATTCAGATGTAAACGCTCATTTACGGGTCTTTTTTTATTGATATCGAAAGAACCTCCATTTTTGTATCACGTGATTTTAATTACCTCCCCTTGTGAACTAGAATTTGATTCGTGTTAAACATCGAAAGTCATTGACAACAATGCAATGTATTTCAATCATTCGATCTTAATCGGCTCATTATTGCCGGCTTCAGTCGGTCCATGTTTGAAAAAATCCTACTTATAAAACAATGAATTGTAGACCAGGTTAATTATTATAACTTGTGGCTACGAATACGATACGATGATAGTCACCATACCTTAGTCAGAATCTGGGTCATTAGCACATTTAACGGTAGTTTTGATAATCCGGAAAATAATAATTGGATTACACATTTGATGGTTTTACTGACGAGTTGTTAGTTAAATTTAAATAGTCATTCGATATAAACCCCAGATAGAACACCGAATATCCTGAGAAACACACCGAATAACCTGAGAAACAGTCATATCCCGATGACACGTGACATTGGTTGGAATTAGGTCAATCATTATAAACCAGCGATACTAGATTTAGATCGCAGTGTCGTTTACCGTGATGATTATTTTTGATACACATGCTGACAGAGGTTTACTCTTTAAAATATTGTCGTTATTATGGACGGCTATTAATAGTCGTACGGAATTTTATTTTAAACCAATTTCAATTATGGTTGTCACCATTACCATTAGTAAGCTACATTACGTGAATTAAATATGGAAAATTATTTTCCTTTCAGTCAGTGTTCAGTGTTTGAGTAGACTTGATTTTTGGGTTTATGTTCTAAGTATGTATAATATATAATTGAAAGCAAAACCGTAGACAAGTAATGACTTTCTCATTAAAAAAAAAAAATAAATAAAATACAAGGCCGCCCTCCCGCCCAAACAATTTTCAACAATAGGCAAATTTTATTTTGCACCATCCTCTAGCCATAAATGAGATAAAAAAAATAATAAACCGCCCTCCCCCCCTACAGTTTCAGCTGTCAGTTGCCCGAGAAACAAGACGTTTATTTTGTGTAGCCTTAATATATATTTATTTCATTTTGTCTTTATGGTTGATTTTCTATACTACGTAACGTCTAACACTAACATATATTCAAAATTTCTGCTGTCCAATGTTGGTTCTTTTATGCACAAGGCTTCTGTGACTCTACAAATAGATCAGTGAATGATATCTTGGCACGATTGGAACAACTGCATTTTAATAGGCTGTTTGCAGTACACAAGTAATAACAAAACATTGGTGGTAAAACTTTAAAGAAAGATATAATAAAATATGGAATATAAAACGGAAGAATTTACTCAAATTGTATTTTAGGAATGAATATTTGTTTGGTTTACCATTATTGGAACTGTGATACATCCATCATCATAGGAGAAATTCATACATAAACATAAACTATTTCAGTATCGGGCAATAAGTCTGAACATATCGCCAATAAACAGATTACCTTTCAACCTGTATTTGTATTAAAGCAATGACCAGATGAGTGAAATATTTTATAATGTTGATTATTTTCAGGATGATATGAAAGTTAGAATGACAGAAAGATCTGTTTATAGTGCTAGATATTGTTTTATTGAAAATCTTCATCAAAGGTTAGTAACATGTAGACCTATTTATTGGAGTTAGCTGGCTGTATGTAATCTTCCAACTGGATGTCCCATTATTATTACATGTACTTTGTTTTATTTTTAATCTGTTTTTACATCGGCACTTTAGCATACCACTTTAAGGACTTACTTTTGTTCATTGGTTGGATTTACTGTCCAAAGTCCAAAAATTGACATAACAGCCACCTTACTTTTGATAGATTAAAAACAAATGTTATAGGAGTTGATTTTATTTTAGTAAATTAATGCCAGAAGTAGATTATGCTATGTTATGTGAATGGCATGATTGGATTAAAACTAATGCAGAAGCACAATTAGATCTTATAGGTAAGTCAAAACAAAGACATTCAACATACTGAAAGTAAAAACAAAGGGAATATAACTCTACCTACCCAGTTAGAAATCAGATTCTATATTCTAACAAATGGTAAATAATAGAAAAGTTTCACAGCTTAGCAGTTATACTTGCATTTACATAACTGGAGGTGTAAACGTAAATCATAGCGTTTCGCTAAATGCACACTTATGCCCAGTAGGTGGTGACAGCAGGCGATATGGATGGAGACAGTAATTTATATTTAGTCATGGAAATTGATGATAAAGATACTTGTAATTTGAATTATGTGATTCTATTTGTCTGCCACACTATTATGCCATGCTCAATGATGATGTTTTGCCATCTAAATGTAAGTATAAATGTAACATTGACAAACGTGTGTAATGCAAACTACATGGATTAACTTTTTAGAAGATTTATAGGCAACCCTGTTCAAGTGCTAACCATGATTAAAGAAAGAATGTATTTATGATAAGTAAGGCTGGGAATCGATATGAAATTTCAATATCGATTATCGGCAAGAATTTGTCAGCGATTATCGATAATAATCGATTATCATTCTTCCGGAAAAACCGAACTTTACCGACCTGTTATTTGTGTTGATCGAGTTACAGTAGTGTTATTATCCTAGTCTAATACTGTGCCCATGTACGTAAAAAAAATCAATTAGTTGCTAAATGTAGGATTAACTTGAGTATTATTCTAAGTTTTGTTCTTGATTCACTTGAACCTTTTTTTTATTCCAATATCTCCGATAAATACAAAGACAATACATGGTTTCTCTTTGCAAGTTACTGGCGATCACATAGTGTTACTAATAATAGAATAAAATATAATAGAAGGCGTCTATTGATTGGACAATAAAAAAAATAATTACCGGTTTTCAAAGTAGAATTCTTCCAAGAAATTACGAGAGATATAGATATTTTCCCGGGAAGTCAAAAACGTGTTTTGTATGGGCTGTATCTGACATGATTTAGTAATAAAAGCTGAGTTGATCATTAATAATACAATTAGTTTTATCGTGAAAGCAGACAATTTCTCTATAAATCAATCAAGAGCAAAGAAGGGAGATAATTCTAATTTTACTATATCACGTGCGATCGTCATTGTTCACAAAGTGCGTGACCTATTTTAGTTTCAACTAGGAATAACAACAAAAACAACGAAAATATTAAAATAATGTATTTAATCTTAAAGTTTAGTTTTTTTACAATAATATATATTTAAAATGTGCCAGTTTGTAAGCAGAGGGGGAAAATAGTTGTTGTGTTGACGTTGTGTATTCGTTCATTCGTCTGCATGCCAGACTACGGCAAGTTCAGTCATGTGAAAGTGACCGTAACTTGCCGTCAGAAGGTAAATATACCGATAATCGATATTTGAATTTCAATATCGATTATCGTATCGCTAAATAACTTCTACCGATCATCGATTATATCGATATTTTTGCACAGCCTTAATGATAAGGCTGACCTTAAAAATATCTTTGTTTTGCCTAACGCGACCGACTAACTAAAACCACCCCCGACTTAAATTATTTTATTGCACTTTTCCGCGATCCTTTTATTTTATTTTGTGTGTCAACCTGAAATATATCACGAGAGTTATTTCCCTTTACTATGGCTATGGTTTGATTCATTATTGAAACTGGTTGATCAAGACAAAAGCGTCATAGGTGTCGCTTCTCAACAAAATGGTTGCAGCCGAAAGCACGTCCATTCCGTCGAAATGATTCTGCCTCTATGTCTGTGGGGCGTTGTTTTAAACATGAAGACGATATTTTCAATATCCGTTTTCAAGAAAAATGAAGGCACAACTCGCACGATCGTTAAAAATGTGTTGAAGGAGTTTCACACTTCAAGTTCGTGGCAAATCGTGTGCGAGTCGTGCATCACGAAAAATCCCGAAGTCATTAATTTGTTTGCCAATTAAAGAAAACGAATGTTTTCACCCGGAAAATTATCAAGCTGTCAAATTAGCTTTTTAAAAAAAAAATCTGAAAAAAAACCCTGACCTACCGACCCTTCTCCTCGATTGTGGGTTGGGTTTGATGAAACAAAGATATTTTTAAGGTCAGCCTAACACCACATCTTTCCATATGACCTCCCACCTTCTACCATAAACGCCTCTAATACCAATACTTTTCCTTGTTTTTAGTTTATTTAAAAGCCAGTCCAGAAACATGTTTACAAAGAATAGAAGAACGAAATCGTAATGAAGAAAAAGGAGTACCTCTAGTAAGTTTTGATAGAAGTAGAAAAGTCTTCATTCTAACCTTGTCTAATTGGTTATAATCCAGACGAAGGCAGATCTGTAAAGTTACTATAAAGTTTATTGTTTGCTACATCGTTTTTATATAGTACCGGTAAACATGTTTTAATGCTAACCTGGGTAATAGTTGGATTGTGACGTCAAGAGTTACGCGACTCAGGTCACCAGAATTATTAGAAATCAGTCAAAACATGGTGGTGCAAGCAGTCAACAGAATGAAATCTAAAACATGGGATATTTAAGTAAATTATGCAGTATAGCTAAATCAAAGTGTTAACAAGGCAGTTTCCCCAGTTGTTTTCAAGTGTTTCATTATGTTTCTAACACTGCTTTCATGCTGGGATAGTTGTGGGAGACAAAAATCACTGTAATTGGTGACCTACACAAACCTGCACTTACCCGATCTTTTTGATATACAGGACTATTTGAAGACACTACACAGACTACATGAAGACTGGTTAATCAAGAAATCACATGGAAAACTACCTTGTAAAGTATTGGTAAGTAAACTTTGTCTTAGAAATTGTATTTTTGAAATAATACAATAAATAGTGAGAATTGTATGTAAACCCCCAGGTTGTGGAAGTTTGACTAAAAGAGAAGAACACGACCACTACAGGGTAAAAATGCTAGATTGAGTCTGTTTAACCTTATCTGTTTTGCTTAATAGAAAAAAATGGTGTAGGATAATCTAGGTGACCTAGACCTTGCCGTAAATCAAATAATTATTAGTCACTGGAATATATTCCTCTCAGTGTTTCGTTTGATTAGAGCTAATCCCACTTAACACTGCTGTAAAGGAAGTGAATTTCTGTTCCAAATTATGACTGGTCAATAGTCCGATTAACAACCAATTGCTAACTGCGTAACAATATCATTACACTTTAAACAGAGCTCCTAATTGGACCAAATATGTTTACATATTACGTTACGTTATGACTGACGATTTTATTATGTCCATGTAACCAGTGCATAGGAGAATATTGCTGAAAAACTAATTGCATGACAAACGAGGTTGTCAAGATGGATACAATGTAAACAATACTGTGTGGAGACGAACAATACTTTCACCGTTTTTAATACCTTAAATCACTGTCCAAAGTTTTACGGAAGACCCCAGATTAAACGAAGGGCTGCCATGTTGCTGTACTCTAGGGATAGATTTGATTGAACGGGAAGAATAGACACACTCCCTCAAAAGCTCAAGTATCAGAAGCCAATCCAGCAATGACCAGAGAAGGATTTCTTGGGCCATTGCTTCAGGAATATGCCTGAATATGAAAAATAGTATAGCAATCATTCTCACACATCAGACATGCACCAATGACAGACTCCCTTACTCTCCATCAAATAAAATTTTGGTCTGTTATGTCAATATTCATCATATGCGGGACATGAAATAAGGTTGCCTGCCTAACATTGTGTTAATATTATTTCTGGGAAGGGGCGAGGGATGAATGATATTATACATGGGTTGTAAAATGTCCTGGTTTTGATCCTACAGAGTAATTCCTCCCACTTTCATAGATTCTTGCAAGCATGTTATTTTTGAAATGGGGGGGTTGGGTGGCCGAATGGTTAGCACGCTCGCGCTGTATCATAAGGCCTGTCATTGAGTCAACTGGTGTGGTTTCGAATCCCAGGTTGTACGTGTAGGGTTGCCTCGTGGGTTTTCTCCGGGTCCTCCGGTTTCCTCCCATTGCTAAAGACCCCTACGCGCAAGCGAATTATTGAAATAAAATTAAACCATATGTTAGTCCCAAAATAACCTAGTTTGTGTCGAGTGGACGTTAAACCCCATTTCTCTCTCTCTCTATTTTTGAAATGGTCCTAAAATACAGAGATTGATTTTAAACTCCATCTTTCTCTATTTCAGGAAATAGATACAGAAGGTAGTAAAGAAATGGTTTTAGAAAAAATTAAACTATTTGAGTCAACAATATTATGTGATGTGACACCTCAAATTTCATGATATTTAATTAACTTTTAATTGTAAATAGATTTTAACATATTATTAATATCTAAAATATTTTTTATTGTATACACATTTTAATCAAATGTAATAATCTCCATAGTTTTAAAAATAGTGATTTTTTTTTTTTTTTTTTTTTTTTTAAAGATTTTAAATCAATAATCTCAATATCAGATATTATTCAGTATCCTCAAACACTATTTTAATGTAATGAAATGAAAATATTCACTTTATTTTAGAAATAGTAACTATTCTGTATTATGTTAGCTAACAGTAATAATTCATACTATGGTCACTCCATCATCATTCCTTTTCATGACTAACCTGTAACCTCATCACAAGACTAGGATCAGCTGCCTAATCTTGTGGGTTTCTCAGAGTGCACTTGTTTTCTCCTACTTGTAAAGACCCAAGAATATAAGCGAGTTAGTGAATAAATATATACCATATGTAGTGAAAAAATGACATTGTTGAGTAAAATATCAAGCTCTCAATTCATGTGATCCTTCCCATCTTATACCTAGAATCATTTGGAAATAAAATTATATCAAATTCCAACTGTCAAGGGATCTTTTATTACGTGCATGCCAATGTGTACATGGGACCTCTGTTTTTCGTCCAATCCAAACGACTAGAGAGCTGTGCTTTGTCAAGCCCTCAGTCCTGCACCACTGACAAAGGGAAACCACCCCAAAAAATCCAGATGAACTTCACTTAGTCACTGTGGCTCCAGAATCAATTGGAGACAAGTTTTCCTGAATACTATACTTACATTCACTAATCCTAAACAAACCCATTACCATCTATAACTCACCCCTGTTCACAATCTCTTTCATCACTGACCCCATCAAAATTAATCTCTCATCACTGACCCCATCAAACTTCATCTGTATCATCACTCACCCCATCAAACTTCATCTCTAGCATCATTCTCACCTCATCAAAATTCATCTCTAGCATCATTCTCACCTCATCAAAATTCATCTCTATTCTCATCACTCACCCCATCAAACTTCATCTCTAGCATCATTCTCACCTCATCAAAATTCATCTCTATTCTCATCACTCACCCCATCAAAATTCATCTCTAGCATCACTCACCTCATCAAAATTCACCCCTATCATCACCCACAGCATCAAAATTCATCTCTATCATCCCTCACCCCATCAAAATTCATCCCTATCATCACCCACCGCATCAAAATTCATCTCTATAATCACTGACTCCTTCCAAATTCATTTCTATCATCTCTGACCCCTTCAAAACTTACTGCAGCTCATTGCTATTACTAGCATCAGTAATAACCCTATCATTTATAACCCCTCCACAGCTCAACATAACCATTGTCATCACTAACCCTATTACAACTCATTACATACCTTTCTAGATTCTTCCATCACTTAACTCAAAAGTTATCACCATAACCATTTATAACCCAGCAAAGCTAAACACTACCATTATCATCAACTAACCCTATTACGATTCATCTCAGACTCTAATATAATCACTATTTACTCTTATAACACCCTGTTGCAATTCAACACAATCGTCACTTTTAAAATCATAACTGGCCTCTGCAACAATGATCTGCCACTATCATCATCACTCACCACTATCATAATAATAATAATAATAATATCTTTATTAGGGTAAGAAATTAGGCCAGGCCTTTTATCAATTCTGCCCTTGAAACATAACAAAACAATATAAGAACAACAAGAACAATCATCATTACTAGCCAGTATTTTCTTTGCTAATTACTAACAGCATCATTCACCCCTTTTATCATCATCATTACTTGACAATATCATCGTCACTCACCACTATCATGACCATCACCACCAATGTCTCCATAAAAAAAACCGTATCAAATGTCACTGTTCCGAATAACTACTTTAGTTTGCACTGTATGGGTATTATGGAAATTGATGTACATGTATTAAAACATTGATCGTGGCAATAAAATATAATATTCTTTACTTATATGTGTTATGTTTTATGACAATTTTTTGGAGTTTATAGTTTTAGGGAGCATGTTGACAATTATTAGTCCTCCGTGTACGGAATGACATAACTACTGTCACCAATAATAAATAATTTATATTACATCCCATTTCATCTTCTGCTAATAACCTAATCAAAGCTTACTTTCCTTCCAAGTTCCGTCTCTGTGCTCAATCTTGCCAGGTCCGCTAGTCGTTATTTTGGGTCCGAGGAAAATTTTAACCGGTTTTAGTTGCTGAATGAGCGCTCTACAGAGGCAACAGTAGCAAGGATTGAAGAGGAATACGTAGGGGATGCTCGATTCACAGCCCAGAACGTCCCGAATTGACAGAATTGCAATCGATTAACGCGGAATTCAGTTCTGTCACAGTTCTGTCAGTCCCAACAACGGAGGTGGTGTGAGTAGAATCGTGACGTAATTAAAAGGTTTCGGCTGCACGGTTGGTTGAGATATTTACTTATTCAGTCGACGCATGCGCTATAGCCCGAAATCACCTTTTCACTCTATTGTCACTATTTTTGGGATGGAAGGAATTCAATTCCGGAACGTCCAATCGAGTCCCCCGTAGACACACACATACAGTTGGAAAGTGCCCTTTCAGTTTGTACTTATAATTTCTATCATAGAGTCAGCTGGCATGGTTTCGATTCCCCGGTTGTACGTAACAATGAGTATGGTCGCCTGTCCAACCTCGTTGGTTTTCTCCGGGTCCTCCGGTTTCAACCCACTGCTAAAAACCCCTACGCGCAAGCGAATTATTGAAATAAAATTGAACCATTTAGTCCCTCTCTCTCTCTCATCTTCATTGTACATATTATATTATCAATTTTATCGTCTGGATATTGCAAAAACTAGTGTTTCTATATATATTGTTTACAACGCGAGTATTCATTTCAGAGATCGTTGCTGTAAATTGTCAAGCTGTCCCCAGAACAACATGACTAACTATTCTTGTGATTGTAAGGTATGCATGACCCCATCATGTTGTCTTGTGATAACAGTATCTTATAAACGTGAGCCGGGCTTCACGTCATTCTTTATTCACTAGTGATCCCTAGATCCGGGTTTGATTTGGCAATTGTCAGCGAATACCCCGCTCGTGCCATTTGTTCTTAGTGACCCCGGAGGTCAAAAGGTCAAATTTTCCGTTTTTTTCCACTAGGACGATTTTAAGCAATAAATGTCAACGTAAAATATAAAAAACTAAAGCGAAACCTTTTCTACTTATTGATAGGAAGATCGTACGTTTACTTTGGAACGTCGAAAAACATCTTGCCTACAGGACCAAAACACTTCGAAACCTGTATCAAAAATACGTAAAACAGTCAAATAGAAATATCTCCAATTTAGTTTCACAACGATTGCTATACATAGTTGTCCGAAAAACATTTGAATACAAGAATGGCTGCGTATTCACTTTCTGTGTAAATGATCTCATTTGACCTTTAACTCCGAATATCTCGAAAACGCCCCAACGGCGGACTGATTACCACTCGTATTCTACGCAAAAAATACTGTAGAAAAGTTGGGTCTGGTTTTGTGCCCATTTGATGGTCACCGGCCTCCCCCCACCCCCACCCCCTGCCGCACTGAGCCTCCAGAATAATAGTTATATGTACACGTCGACCCCAAGATATCACATGGTTTTATCTAATCATTTAAATAGTTGCTATAATCGGATATAAAAAGATAAAATAACTTGTACAATATACTCTACTGATCTACATTTAAGTTGTTTGATCTGGAAATAACAATCATAGACCATGTACATTGCTGGTATTACACAACACAGTAAGCAAATGATACGTTTATTCAGGTGGTTTTTGAAATAGCCTTCTTCCTTGCAATACAAATAACGAACACAATTTTCTATGTTATTTTATTCACCTTTACAATGCCAACTTTTCCAAAATGTCCAACTCTCTCTTTATGGCCACAAAGGGAAAGGGAAGCATTAGACATTTCGGACTATAGACAATCGTCAGACTTCTTGACTGAATTAATCGACTTTGTGAATTAGAACAAAGAATTAATATACAAAAATATACCAATAGTCTTAATGCAATTAACGCTCCTGGTAATGTTTACATGTTGTTAACAAATTGCTTTCAGATACCCTCCAAATATGTATTCAAAGCAACCAAAGTAAAAGTCGTAATACTTTGACATTGCCCAAAGTTGCTGGTTCACTGGGTGCGATTCGGGTGTTGGTCAAGATATTTGTTTAAATTTTTCAGTCTGGTTACCCCTTGTCAACGATGGAGTGCGTGTGTGGGGTGGGGCCGGGGATGTAGCCGACAAGGCAAAGAGTCTAATCGTTCGGATAATACGATAACCGTATAACTGACCCATTTCTTTCAGTTTCGGGGTAGTTTCCAGAGCAGAATATCGCCAACAAATTACAATCTGTTCGGAACCAGGACAAAGAATACAATTCTGTAATAATAGTAAAAATAAATACTTTAATACATTCACAATCGTAAAATTATTCTGATATTGTAACACAATTAATGCATGGCCATGATAGAATTTAGCAAAATAAGCAATATGAACGCATCATAAACCTTTCGAATTTGATAGGATCTGCGGTACGTATTGGGAGACACAGCGACTCAGTGAGTGAGACGCTGGCTCACAAACCAGTTCATCCCGAGTTTTCCCGATTACGTGATTTCTATGTCTCAGTGGTACAGGACGAAAACTGAGGTCCTGTGTATTCTTTGGGGTGCACATCACAGAACCGTTGACATTTGGAATTCGAAATAAGAGTAGGCCGTAGCGCCGCTGTCCGGGCGAAATTCCCTCATGGCGTATAGCGGTCGGTGCAGAGAAGTAGGGCGGTAAACCCCATTTCATTCCATTCCAACACTTATTAAACATTATTTTTAAAAAAATGGTTTCAGAGGCAGACGACTTCATGTCAGAAGGAGGAAGGGACGGTCAAATACTCTAGGTGCATCCCATGGTCATAGACGATGGTTTAATATTCGACTGACACACAGGTTACACATACGCCCCACTTGCGATCTAGTGAAATATTTTGGTTTGAGAAGGTGGTTTATTGTATTTAAGTCGAAAGCAATATTGTATTTAAGTTCTTAAACCACCTTCTCCAATAAATATATTAACCTTTTTCTTCATTTTGTGGCCCCCCCTTTCACAAATACAATACGGTCCTGGAGTCGATGTAATTTGATAGTAGGTGACATTCTACTTCATGGCTGTATGGATTTCAGCACGAAATGAAGGATAGTAAAATTAATAGTATGGATGTCACATAGTTCCACGTTACCCCAAACCAAGAAAAGTCTCCGCAATCAGAGCCCAAGCCCCAAAATATATTGCGATTAATCCAGTCGGTCACTTTCTTCCATGCGGTATGTTAGTTTAGTTTTATAACATTGTAATAATAATGAATACTTTTAAGCGTCCTTTTTAATCGACCCATTACCCACACCCTTTTCCGAGTCCTCAAAGTTCCAGTCCTTCTGTTGAACCATTTGAACTGTTTTCTTGTAGGTCCAATATGGTGTCATGACGAAGGTTATCAAAGGTAACTGTATATACAGCGCGTAGAACACTGGCGATGGCATCTGGGTGTAAATATAGTCCCAATTTTTATAAGATGTAAATAATAAATAACATTCTACTATGGAACGACAATGGAAAGTGTGAACCAAAAAGAATTGATTGGCTTTCCATAAAAACGACTTTTCTTTGCCACATTTCAGCATTGTCCAGCAGATTGCTGAAAAGGGCGTGCTCATCTCCAACACAAGTCCTTTACCGGCGAAAAAATGACTGCTGCCAGAAAACAAAACGATGCTGTAGCCTACCAAGGACAACCAATGATGGAGGTTTAACAACATGCTGTAATTCCTAAAAATGATATCAGATATCAGCAGAGCTGTACACTCAAACGTGAAAAATCCAACAGTCGTGGCTATAGCGAAATAGGTAGTAGCCGTGGTACCAAACACCACATCCCTGTCCAGATTTGTTGGTGTAGACAGCGCCCATAACCCAACCAACCCTGCAAAAATACCAAACACAGAACGCACAATAGCCAGATGCCAAAATACCTTCTCCTTGGTCTTCAGATTCTTGTATGAAGAGAAAATAACTGGTGATACTATCATGGAGAAAATGTAGGTTCCAAAGAAAAAGAAAAACGATCCTAAAATCAGTTGTTTCTTGACCTCACTAGACTCATAATCAAGCTGAACTAATTTAGGGTGTATCATTGAAAGCAATTCAAAATCCTTTTCAGGCTCGGCATCCAATACTTTAGCCACCATTTTAAAATAAAATCTGAAAAAGGGAAACAAGCTTTAGTGTAAAATTATTTATGGTGAATAAAATTTAAATAAAATTGCAAATATTCCACACACTAAGGATTTTAATTTGATACGATTTCAATCATGTACACTTTCTGAAATGGTAGGTGTCCTCAAGTCAACAAATCCTGCCTCGTGAACGACATCCATCACCACTTACAAGCAAATGACACCTATTAATTAATTCCTTTGGCAATTCGAATGCGAAGAAGAAGAGACGGGAACGCTGCTGTATGAAACGTGAAGTTCTATTCCATTCTAGAAAGCATACCTTGTTAAACTCTGATACGTTATTTCAAATCCCTGTATTCCAGCTTTAAGGAAATGTTCTTATAAACACAAGACCCAACCTTTTATAGTGTTATTCACCCTGGACTTTGAGATATCAGCTTATTTATCGACTTTTTATAGTTGCATATTTTCAAGCACATTTATGTGTTGTCGACTTTTTAATGAACATTAAATTCATTAATATAATATTATCTATAGATGGTCGCCTTATTTATTATACAGTCAGCTATATTACTGTGATTTATCAAAAATTATTGTTGATTGGAATATTTGCTTAAAATGTCATATATATATAGGTGAATTCTTATCAGACTACTGTTTACAGTTTAACTACACGTTTATGTAGATCAAGAATTAGTTTTACATTACCTATAAACTTTATAACTAGGTGAAGCGAAATAATGAGACATTCTAACGTACAATTATTAACCAGGTGAAGCGAAACAACTACGACTATTACCATAAAATGTAATTTACATTAAATTGAATTATTTGATTGAATATATACGCCTGTAAGCATCTATTTAACTCAAATATGCTGTATAATTTAAACCTACATAGCATTTCAGTTACTATAAAATGCATCATGGCTAACCCAACAAGTCTAAAAATTGATCTTTATTTCTTTAGTTTAAACTTATTTTATTGCATCGACCTATCATTGTACAATACAAAAGAATTAAACAAAAGTTCTAACAACTTATAAACGTCTTCTCCTTAAAAAAAACATTAATTGGTGAGAATATTTCATTATGATATATACGGAGTTATATTCATTTCATTGAACTAATCATTATTTCCTTCGGGTACTAATTCTAATTAACCCACATGACTGTCTAACTACTTGCTTGTTTATCAAATATTAGTTGTCTGTGGAGCCACATTAAAAAAGCCCACCGTGACTGGTCAAAATCGTTTTTTTTTTATATTGGCTTCTTTTGATTTTTTTTATTGATTTTATTTTCGGTGGGTGTGTGTGTGTGTGTGTGTGGGGGGGGGGGGGTCAGTCGTTCTACTGATTAACCGACATATTAGATCTTGGATTAGAATGTAAACATTTCCGATATAATAACATGTACAGTACAGACCCAGTTACAAGATGCTAGGTGGATGCGGACGTACCCCTCTACGGTAGCCACTGAGTTCCGCTGTGCACGAACCAGACCATTTCACGACTAACACAATATGTTTTTATTTTAATAATTTTATTGCACGCAGATTTTTTTTATAACTAAGACCAACTGCTCATTTAATCTGTGGTATGTAGATAATTTCATATAATTTAGATTTTATCTTTAAGATTTGAATGAGCAATTATATGTCTATTACATTACTGGACGCAGGTTCATGTGTATCAATATAGATTACATATATACCACATATCGTATTTATAATCTCTTATAGGCCTCCTGGGAGCCGACTGACATCATGTTCTGTAGATTTTAACTAATAATGTGATACGAGGTACACCGATTACTTCCGGCAGATTACAAAAGAGGATTCTAGGCCTATATTGTATAATTTTGCATTCTACTGTTAACAAGACAGTATGTAGAGAAGTCTAAGACCATGTTCGAAATTCAAACAATGATATATAATTCTAAACAGAAGTATAGCGGGCGTATCCATTACACGTGTGAGATGAGGTTCAACGTCAACTCGACACAAACTAGGTCAGTTCGGGACTAACATATGGTTTAATTTTATTTCAATAATTTGCTTGCGCGTAGGGGTCTTTAGAAGTGGGAGGAAACCGGAGGACCCAGAGAAAACCCACGAGGTTGGACAGGCGACCCTACTCCTCGTCACGTACAACCGGGGATTCGACACTACGCCAGTTGACTCAATGACAAGCCTTATGATACAACGCACACGTGCTAACTGTATTTGAATAGATGAGCGATATATTTATAGCTATCAACAAGAGTGGGGTGCCACAAAACTTATTTAATTGTATACGCTTAAACAAAATAACCTTATAAGCTACATAAAAATAATAAACTGAATTCATGTAAAACATCTTACCCGGATAAACGCCTATTTACATCTGTCGGTACCCAGCCTCATCAATAGGTTAATATAATACGTTTGTAATGCAATTTAAAATCACACTTATCTACATCTATATCATATGACACTGGCTATATTTACGGGTCAAGGGTTGTATTCATTTATAGATATATATCAGATATGCATCAGTGATCTATATATATCATTAGATATATTCATATTTTATAGCCTCCTCATAGAAATTTTTTCAGATGTTTCGCAAAAATGTTACCGAACTCTTTTCGGTTATTTTTCATCGATAAATTCTGGAAAGATGTTTGTGGCCTTTCCAATGATACAATCTGTCATATTCCAATATTTAGTGGACTTAGAGGACTCCTTTGGATGTTTTATACATCATTTCTATACCGGTATGCATTTGTGTATTGACAGGACAGGCAGACGAATTATTCATGGTACAAACAAGATCCGAACGATTGTGGATTCTTTTTGTCAAAAGCGCGTGTAAAGTATGATATATATAAATAAAGTGGCAAACAAATGCCATAGATTATCTAAAATTTAAATAATTTCCTTAAAAAAATGACAAAATGTTTTTGACAAAGTGACATAATACCGGTAAGGAGAGACTATAACTTACATTGGATAAACTACTAATAACGCTCATTTTTAAATGTATAATTAAATTTATTTAAATTATAACTTTTAATTATTAATCAGTGGATACCATGTGTGACAGAATGTCTAATTACAAAATTCATTGATTCAAAATGGACATATACATCATGGTGCAAGCAATTTTTTTATTAATCCAAACGTAACCAATTTTGGACATGGTAAGTAGATAGCCTACCTTGGTCATTGTTTGTTATTGTGTCATGTCCATTGGTGAAAAGCAAAATGGTTTGTGGAGACGTGCATCAGCTCTTACAAATCACATGTCTTCCTTAATTTTCATTCAATTAAACTGACATATCTGTATATCCCATATTTTGTCTTAGTCATAGTTTATTCAGTGTAAGCGACAGTTTTTCCATGTCGATATTAGGCTGCTTTGCCAAAATTTTAATTATCCATAATTTTGCAATTTGTTATGGCATCATTTGGATTTTGAATATGCACATCTATTATCTTTCATTGTCGGTCATAGTTTGGGACCTTTTGATCAAAAGCTCCCCTGCCGGTTTATTGTACAGATGCGTTGCGTTGTGTATCCAAAAATTTCAGACATCAACCTCACATAAAATTTGGATCAAAGACATTGCCAGTTGTAGATTCCTCCATTCAGCCAAACAAAAACTTGGGAGAAATTTTAGCAGTCTGCGTCGTAGTGTCTGAAATAGAGTTATCTCCCTTTAAACTGACCATTCCTTAATCATCTTTACAATCTTCCGCAAATTTTCCTTTCTTCAGGTAACACAAGAAATATAAATTGGCGTATAGTCATGTTGTGATTTTGATGGGTAAAGCATTGAGATTCTTATTTATATGTTAGAATGAATGTATTTTATACGTTTAGGCAGGACACGCAACTGGACTTCAACTGCTGATGGACCATTTTTACCCATTCCCACTTTCATTAAAACACAGGTGACAGATCTTATTTCGTTTTCCATTTTTTTAAATTCAAGTTTCGTTTTATCTATCTAATATTGAATTCTCGCAATTTTACGAATTGTGAAAATCGGCAGTGAACAAAGTAGATTTCGGGCTGCAACCCATGCACCAACTGGATAAGAAAATGTCTCAACCAACTGTAATGCTAAAAAAAAATTTGGACTGTGATTGATTACATCACAGTTATACGCACACTAACTTAGTAATCGGAACAAGACAGAATTCTGTGGCATCCGATTGTAAGTCTGTCAATTCCGAACGTTCCGAAGAAACAATCCAACATCCCCAGGGTGTGGAGGAGATCTAAAGTGTAAAGAAGGAATCAAAATTTAGATCTGCATATTGATAAAATTGTGAAGATTCACTATTTCCGACGAACTGAATTGAGGGAGTGTAATGCCTGGTCGCTCAGCACACTGCTTCAATAAGTTTGGGACAAACATAGTACAATATTTTTTTTAATTCTATGAAGGTTCTTGTCGGCTCATTCCGACTTCAGGACAGCTCTCTGATATCGTTGCAAGGTGCACTTCTTATTTCAAACTTTGTAGTTATTTTCAGTACCGAGTTTTCAAATAAATAATTAATTTGACTTGTGACTTGAATGATGTTTTCAAGCAGAAACTGGTAATTACTGTAAATGCGACATGAGCCAAACACACCATAAGCCATAAGCAGTGCCGGATTGGGAGAGAGAGAGAGGGAGAGAGAGAGAGAGAGAGAGAGAGAGAGAGAGAGATTTTAACGTCCTACTGTTCTGCTCCTAAACTGGGCTAATGAAGACGGGCATACGCCATACAGTGTGCGACGAGGGAAATTTTGCCCGGGCAGCGGCGCTCCCGAACGAACGACTAGACAACTGTCCTTGTCAGGCCCTCCGTCCTGCATCACTGACAAGGGGAAACCACGCCGAAAAATCTGGATGAACTTTCTCGGCCAATGCAGGGATCGAACACTCGGCCAATGCAGGGATCGAACACCCGACCTCCAGGCTAGCGAGCCAGCGTCTTACCCACTTAGCCACGTGATCCCCAGAGAGAGAGAGAGAGAGAGAGAGAGAGAGTGTATCGTCCGCACGACGCAAACAGAGTCATTTCGGGACTAACATAAGGTTTAATTTTATTTCAATAAGAGGTTGGACAGGCGACCCTACTCCTTGTCACATACAACCGGGAATTCGAAACCACGCCAGTAGACTCAATGACAGGCCTTATGATACAGCGCGCACGTGCTAACCATTCGGCCATCCAACCCCCCTTAGAGGAAGAGATGCCTTAGGCTATGCCATTTATGAGACATATTCCAATCTCCTACCCTCACGCCGAGGAAGATGAAAGTGGGTTTTAAACTGAATTGAATAAAACCGAGAATGGTGACGGATGTTTAAGACTACGCGTAAGAAAAATTTATGACAATGTCAAAAATTCTTATACAGCTTGGCCCTGAGGCTCCCTAGATCTTGAGGCCCTTGGATCCAGTCTGCCAAGCATATTGATAAATCCGACACTGACCATAAGACCGTGGTAATAAAATGTAAGTCACACTGAAACGGTGTACATCTACTTTTGTATAATTATTTTATTACTTTAACTTTACACCGTTTAACATAATATAAACATTTATAACAAATAATCATAAAAACAATTCATATATATTTCATGAAATATGTAATAATTTTCAGGTGATCATCCAATAATATTTTCACGATAGAATGTGGTTATATTTTTTCTATTTACATTTATTTATTCGATCAAAATTCAACACAAAGTAAGCATGTTATTACCACTTAATAGCCCTGTAATCTAGATATTAAATAAATATATAGGCCGTTTTGATGTCATGACGTCGGCCCACTCAACTATAAAAGATCCCAATTAACAAACTGAATAAAATTCCAATTTCGTTTCGGTTATTTCTGATATTATACTACATTGAGTGTAAAAGTCGGATAAGACCCGAAACGAAATTAAATTTGTCAAATTAAAGACTAGATTACTTAGATAGTATAATACATATTCATTAGCTATAATTAATCCCAATCTCAATACTGTTAAACTGTATTAATGGCATTTAGTTATGGAAATACACAGGTCACAATTATATGGAAAACAATCATTGCATTTTAACATTTGTATATTAAGATATACAAATGTTATTTTCATACATTTAATCAATTGTTCAAATTTAAAATGCATACATCTTGTGCGTTGATATAGATAACGTAATCTCCAATGGTTCTGCTATTTTGACACCATAATTCATATTAGTATTTAATACAGTTGAAATTATTTATTGCACCTGCGCTAATTTGCCTTCCCCCTTCTTTGCAAGATATCATAGACTGCTGATGTACAGTGTACACCCATATTATTTTTCTGCTATTTATAATCCTATAGGTGGGACAAATCTAGAGTTTGATAGCTCATCGTAAACTATTGAAATAAATATCGTCGCTCAAGTAATGATGATTATTAACAGCCAACACGCAAGTGTAAACCACTAATTGATAAATCGATATTCTTATCGAGGTTTGTCGAATATGATCCGCCGGACTTCACAGTTTCCCCACCTAAGGATAAGTCATTTTCGACCTTACATATCGGCTGGAATTGTAGATTACATCGTCGCATAACCATGGTCCGTAACATGTCATGACTACCCACGTAACACGGGTAAATCTTATCGGTGGGTGTGTCTGTATTGCGGATCTGATTCGATACGTGTGTCGGCGATACAATCCTCTCGCGTCAAATAAAACGTCATAGATCAGTTTGAAATGTTTTTTAGGCCACAAGTTACTAACCATGGTTATGCCAAGACAGGTAGCCAATTAACAGGTGACATTTATTGTATATCGAAGTTCATATAATAATAATATTGCGTCTTTCGCTCAATTCTTGATTTTCTTTCCTGTGAAACACTGCGAGTAGTATGATTATATTGTGAAGTAGATGCATCCTAAGACCAGACTTCTACAATATATTATGCCCCAAAGAACTGGACGGCACTACACTACTTTGTGTTCTGAAGAAGGACTATGATTGAATTCGTAATCTAAATGAACAAAGGCTCTCTCCACATCTGGTAATGTTTCAAGTTTCTGTTGTAACGATTCACCAATATCATGAGCTTCCTTTAGCTTCATTTGTTCAGGCAAGACAATGTCCACTTCCACCAGGAAATTATTTCCGAAATGAAAAGCTCTAACCGTGTCTATATTTAGAATACGTGGATGGTGGTTCACACTAATCCAAGTTAATTTACTGAGAAAATCTGGCTGGGCTGAATGTCCTGTTAATAACTTGATTTGATCTGTAACAATGGAGACAATACGTATTAGAAACAATACTTTCCTAAATGCTTAGATTGGTATTTGATAATAGGGGAATTTGGCAAACTCGAGTAACAGTAACTCATACTAAGAGTGATTCCTAGTAGTCAAGAAGGAACACCCGCAACTACCGCTGTGCTAAATGAATACTGGAAGATGATAAAACCAAAACATTTGGATCCGATAGACAAGCCACTATAAAAGGCATCACACAATATAATGATGGCGACCATACAACTTTTGAAATATTTCTGTAATTTCGTTACTGTCTTTCCACAAAACCAAGACACCGTTTGCTGAGAAACATGTGAACAACCTGGGGCAAATGGGTATCATCAGATATGTTAAAGAAAGAATGTTTGTCCTACCTTTTCCCGTTTTCCACCAGTTGAAAACTATATACATACTAATTAATATGGCACCACCGGGATCAACAAATGAGAACTCTGTTATATGTGTCTTCTCAAACATCTCCATAGAACCTAGAAAGCATCATTAAACATCAATATAACTACAATACATTGTAAAACAATGGGTGCCACAGAGGTTAGGGTATCTGGTCAGGGTATTATCCTCAGCGCATTATCAATGGAAATGCAATATAATGAAATAAAATGGGGTTTAACGTCCTACTGTTCTGCCCCGAACTGGGATCGCGAAGACGGGCATACGCCATACTGTTTGCTACGAGGGAAATTTTGCCCGGGCAGCGGCACTACGGCCTACTCTTATATCGAATTACTACATCACTAACAAGAGGGAACCACGATACGAAAACAGACCAATACAAGAGTCATTCGTGGGAGGGATTAGCTTATCTAAATGCTACAAATCTTTGTTTACATTTGCCTTCACCTGAACTTGATATATACTTGCACACGCAAAGTGGTAATACGAAAATGTATACTTTTTCAACTCGAACGTTAAACCCCATTTCATTTCATTTCATATCTGTCATCAGGTTGGAATTCATCAAATTGGAACCAGTCTATAATTTAACACTTTTGAATATGCACTAAATGGGAAACGTACTTTCTAATCTAGTTTACCAAAATGCCCTTTTTAATGAATCGGTATGTGCCCACACAAGCATGTCTAAACTTGCTCCTTTAAGGTGCACCTGCCCCGTCCCTATCGAATTAACATAAGCCATTTTGTCGCTGGCCTGTAGGACTAAGACATTTACTGTGTTGTTCTCTTTTTTCAAAGCCGTAGCAGAACAGTCGGACTTTAAACCATATTTCATTTCATTTCTATTTCCAAATTTATGGATGAAAGAAAAATAGAACCATACATACCGAGGTAGCCGCAAATAATAGCAACTGTATTAGAAAGAACATCATTTCGGTGATCTTGAGCTAAGGCCTGAACAGACGGACTTTGAATTCTTCTACACATCAACCACATAATAAATTTTATAACTGAAAGATAAACATTCGACAATGCTTTTAAAATAATATGTACATGGTATTTGTAGCAAAATATGAATATGTGGTCTTTGGAAGACACAATTTGTAGTTACGTCACCATATACATGGGGGTTTGGAATAGCATTGGACATTGCTGGGGCCGAACAATAACGCGTATTGTCCCAGCATGTATATACATAAAATGCTGGATTTAACAAAAAAAAAGATTTTTAAAAAGAAAAGGATGTGTGTAATAATAGAATAAAACCAAAATAGTATAATGGTCCCAAGCCAATAACCGAGAAACAAAATCCATTGGACAAATCTCCCCTTTGTACTGTTTAAATGCAGATATATTATAAGCCCACACCAAGCTAAATTCATATGTAACTGAAAAAAGAAAAATTGTGACTGTAATTATGACTTAATTTTATTATCATGGCTGTCTCTGTTACTTACCAACTGTTGAACCGGCTATAATCATTGTGGGTATTTCCATATTTGGTAAATCATACGTTACACCTGTCAAGGCAGCTATTCTCTCAATTGATTCACGTATCAGTTGTAAAGAAGCTAGTGCCATGACAACAGATATTATCACTATAGCAATGGGTTCTAACTTCGTTCTTCCTGAAAACATACCAGTCCAAAATATTATATCGTGTAAGTTTTGAATACATTTGAAAGGAATTAACAAGAGTAAATGATCTATTGTTTCCACAAAGACTATATACCGGTCGAGGCTATGATTAGGCTATACATGTATTAGAAAGTCCTAACATTTTAGATTTAACATTGTTAAGACTTCTGAACTCAAGAACGTATAAATTATCTCATAACCTTTACTAACCTTGTGGATAAGCATAAATATTTCGTTTTTTCACAGCATGATTCGTCCACCAAAGAACAATACCAGATACTAAATCTACAGCACTATCAACTAAACTGGATATAATGGCTATAGAACCGGACATCACACTAGCTACTGTCTTAGCTATTAATAACAACTGAAAACATATTGACATGTGGTTTATGTAATGATATACAATATACTAATGTTACCGTCTTTTATAATATTAAGTAAAAACTCACAAGACAGTCATGAAAATAGGGAAATAGTAAACAAAATGAAGTAAAGGGACAGGTAGTCGGTCGAAAGCGTCTACTTTGCGATACAGTCACGGATCTATAGCGTTAGGCTTCGCTGAATTTGTAAATGGATTAACATAAAATAAACAAATATTATATTGTTTCACTCTGTATGATCTGCTGTCTGCTAATATGGGATGAAAGGGAAGTTTATATACATCGGTGGTGATTAGACCTTAGCTGTAGATTTAAAATAAAGGAATCTTATACTTTCAAACATTATTTACTTATCACTAAAGGAGCCAATCCGCTAAATTTCGGTTTCGAAATATTAAGTAGATTTTTATATTGTCTTATAGTAGATTTCAAAATATTTTAATTACTCTAAACGCAAAAATTAAATAGATTATTCAACCGCAGAACCGTACCGACAATGAAAAATATGAATCAGGATAAAAAAAACATGCAGCTGCCAGTCCTCGGCCTCATTAGCCCACAACACTAGCCATTTACTCGATGGCGAAATGCATCGTTAGGCATCACTGACAATATCCCTTTAATATACCAATCATTAGAATGAGATATAGTGATGACTTTCTCGTGGAGATGAGGTTAAAAATGAAATAAGTTACCAAATTAAGAGCGAAGGTCATCTTTGCGTAACAACTGGCTTGTTTCCTCAGTCTGATTACATCTTCACTGTTATCCATAGCGTCTTCAATCTGCAACTGTATCTCTTCAAATGACGTAATCAGTTCATCCTGAGCCTTATAGTACGATCTACAAACAGTATTTTAAAATTAGCTGGTGTTAGATTGTTAGGTTTCGTTATTAGCATGTATTGCTTATTATATACTATTCAAAAAAAGTAGGGAATATTTGATTTTTAAGTGTTATTAAAGTCACCTAATGAAACTGACGAAGAAACAAATGACAAAATGAAATGAAGTTCACATTCATCGATTTATTCCAAATGATCGTTAGACTAAGTAAGGCACAGACTGACCATTATAAGGGTAAAATGATACCCGGGGTCAAACAGCAAAGTTACCACAGCATCACAACCAAGTCAGTAACGGGTAAATCCTCCTCTGTTTGCCAAACAAGCATTGATCCGACGTGGCATACTCCTAATGAGACGTCTAAGGTCATTTTGGTCCAGATTGTCCCATTCCTGTTGCAACGCAGGAGCAAGTTCTTGGACATTGGCAGGACGCTGTTGACGTTGACGTAACCTCTGTCCAAGCATGTCCCAGACATGCTCGATGGGGGAGAGGTCGGGACTCAGTGCTGGCCAAGGTAATGTGGTGATGTTCTGTTGTTGGAGGTAACCTGTAACGATCCTGGCCCTGTGACATCTTGCGTTGTCATCCTGGAAGATGAAACGGCGGCCATGACGTCGTGCGAACGGCACAACATGGACTGCCAAGATGTTGTCCCGGTAGTACTGGCCTGTAACACGCCCTGCAACAACATGTAAAGCCGTTCTTCCAGCAACAGTGATGCCTCCCCACACCATAACAGAACCACCCCCAAATCGATCATGTCTGATGACGTTAACGTCTTGGAAGCGCTCGTTTCGACGACGCCACACCCTCCTACGTCTGTCCAAAAAATCAACAGTGAACCTTGACTCATCTGAAAACATCACATTGCTCCAGCGTCGATTATCCCAGTGTTGACGATCCCTACACCAACGACGTCTTGCCTGAATGTGATGATCTCTCAAACAAGGGATCACGCGAGGACGTCGGGCGCGAAGGTGACCCCTATGCAGTCGATTCCGAATCGTCTGGCCACTCACTCTCACACCAGTGTCTGTTTGAAGACGAGCACTGATCTGATTTGCTGTGATGACACGATTTCTCAAGGCCAAGGTACGGATAAATCGATCCTGGGCTTGAGTTGTCGCCCTTGGTCGACCTGAGCGTGGTCTGTCCTGTACAGATTGTGTATCACGGTATCTGGACCATAGCCTGCTTATGACAGACTGAGAAACATTCATCGTCCGCGCCACAACCGCCTGTGTTGTGCCGATCTGTAGCATGCCAAGGGCACGTTACCTTTCATTTTGGGTAAGCCGACGCATATCAAAATTTGTTTTCTGGTCACTAAAACAATTAAACTGATGTTTCCACCCTGGAATTCAATGCCACAATGACTGTAACATTCAAAGTCAGAGTCGTGCAAATCTTGGGTTGGACCCCCATGATGATCCCAAGCATCACCTGCATTCCATGGGGTAACTATTGGTGCGTTTGGGCGTCACATGTAACTGGAAATGTTTCTTCTGTTAGGTTCTATAGTGACTTTTTTCGTAGTCATTTGCATATTTTAGTATTATGCCCCCAAAATCAAATATCCCCTACTTTTTTTGAATAGTATATATTGGTTTACTAGGGAGTCGGGTAAATCTAATTTAAAGATACATTATGGGAGATTAGATGAAGAGCTGGCAATTCTCACTATAATAGTTAAAAATCAGATAATGTAATAGCAATTTGCTGAAAATTTCAGTCAAATTGATCCACTATGAACCGAGATTTTAGCGATTGAAAAACATAGTCTCGATTATCAATTTTTTTTATTTAATTATGAATGGAAGTTGAACAGCAGATCGGAACGTAATCCAATAAACATCGCAGGCAAGCGATGTCATCGAGAGCTGATTATGGTCTGAATAAGTTAATTAATGTCTAATTAATAAGTTTGATAACATTGATAACATAATGAAAGACCTGCAATAGGCAGATTTAGCTCTTGCATAATGTATGTTTAAAGTTTAAACAAGTGGTCTCTTGAACATCATTTCCACACACCAAGCGTGACAAGGGTTATTTATAATACAGCTACCTTAATCACACACAGCGGTCTATGAAGTTTCAGAATTCGGGATAGGAGAAATGTGAACCAAAATGAGTTCCACAATGATAATTTCTGTATCGTAATGACCGGAAGGGGTTTGATGCAGTTGTATTGCTACCCACCAAGCGTGACAAGCAGGGTTATTTATAATACAGCTATCTTAATCACGCACAGCGGTCTATGAAGTTTCAGAATTCGGAATATGATCAATGTGAATCAAGACCGTGGACCAAAGTGAGTTCCACTATGATCATTCCTGTATCGTAATGACCGGAAGGGGTTTAGTGTGGTTGTATTAGTTCAGTGATTCTCAACCAGTGTGCCGCGGCACACAAGACTTAGTGTGCCGCTAGATCTTCCTAAGTGTGCCGCGGAATTTTGAACGGCACACTTAAGAAAATGCGAAAAACCACATGATCCCAATTGAGTATTCGCTGGTGTCTACTGATAAGTTCATAGCTGTGTTTTTCTTTATTTAGTTCGAGTCAGTCTATGTGACTATCATAGGCGTACGAGCTGGGGGGCCGCCCCCCCCCCCATTTTGGGCACCAAATGCTGGGAAAATTTGGGCACACAATTGTACTTGAATGTGTCCAATTTAACAGCAAATTTATTATTATTATGTAACATACTAAGAACCTAACTACATTTTTTGGGCACCAACCACCACCGCCCCCCCCCCCCAGTCAAAAATTTCCTCGTACGCCTATGGTGACTATGACTAGTCTCTGTCTACGGTTGTATGTCGTCTGACTTGCCATGTTTTTATTTTGCAAAATTCAAATATTTTTCATATGTATTTAACCAGATGTGCTGCTATGTTTTCATGTGTTCCAGGGTGTGCCGTTGGCAAAAAAAGGTTGAGAACCAATGTATTAGTTGGTTACATAATAATATTTACCTCATTCGTTTGGAGTGTTGTTTGTAATTAGGTCCTTGTCTTTTGGAACTGAAGTCGTTGATGGGCATTTTCCATTTTTCTTCGCCATCTTTAAGTAAAACACAAGAAGAATAAGGTATCAATTATGCAGGCGTGTGTGCAGACAAATGAATGGGGGGGGGGGAGGGCGTGACTGACCGCGCAGACTCAAGGTGGGTATTTGAAAATTTAAAGTCGATTTACTTGCATTTTATAAATATTCCGTTGTACACGGACTGACAACTGAATAACGATCACAGCAACAATAATTGTTAGCGGTGAACTGAATCTATTATGTCTTTAAATGCGTACATTATTTTCGATTTTTGGAATATACTTTTGAAATTTATGCTAAAATGAAGATAATAAAATTCTGTGGACTTTAAACTCACTCGATACCATTGATTTTACGATCGTTTTTTATCCATTTAGACATTATTTAATGTGTGTCCAGTGGATAGAATGTTTGTGCACGAGAAGCGCCGTTTTTCCCATATATTTCGAATTACACCAATTGTCAACTGAAACGATAATTCAGACGTTTATTAGATATCGCAGACTATAAAATCATGTGGCGAAACCACATAAACTACTTGTGTAATGGCGTATAGTTGACAAATGATTTCCCAAACATGAAAATCTGCCCAGACAGATTTTTTGTTATTTTTTGTGTTATATAAAAGCTGGTTCTAGACAATTACAATTCAGATCTGACATAGTCTCTTATCAAACATTATTGTAACAAATACTTAAAATGACTTGATTTGGGTCAGTGTTTAAGATATAACCGAATTGTTTGCGCGTGTTAATCAAGTTAAGTAAAAATTCAAACTTAATTTTGTAAACAAGACAACTTACGCCTAATCTTTCAAATAAAATTTAATTCTATCACTAATGGAAACAACAATTCGATTCTTAATTTTAACCTAAATCGGAGAGGTTTAGCTCATTTAAAAGAAAGACAACTGTTTTAACAATATCGTCAATTGTAAACGCGGTCTGTCTGACCTTTGTGCCCTCATACTAGCTAAAACACTAGTACATCGCAGTTCAACAAATATACCACCTAATTGGGTACATATTTCTATATTATGTGTGAAACCTTCTAATGACGATATGCGTGTTGTTGCTGATTCACCAAAGCCGTTTACTCTCAAACAAAACATTATTTCATACAACAGTGTGAGAAAAACATTTGTCAGTTAAAATTATGTGAATTCTTTTAATGGGAAAGATTAAGAATACCTGGCTGGTATAAATATTAGCAAATGCGGGAGAGACCTTACTACACACAAACTCGCAGACAAAACACACAAATTGCACAGGCATCGCAAGCAATAAACAACAAATTTAAGTATGAAATAAAGTGGCGAGTGGGTATATCCGGGGGCCAGTCTTAAGCGTTTAACTGCACTGTACATTTCATCACTATGCTCTAAATAAGCTGTTATAGACTACTTCTTGACCTAACTACAAACGAAAACCCACGAGACATACCTGCGGACAAAATACACAAACTGCACAGACATTGCAAACAATAAACAACACACTTAAGTATGAAATCAAGTGGGTGGATCCGGGGACCGTCTTAAGCGTTTAACTGCACTGTACATTTCATCACTCTGCTGTAAATACGCTGTTTTAGACTACTTCTTGGACTATTGAATTCTCGCAACCCTGCTTCTAAACACAACTACTTACCCCCTTCATTTTCCGACATAAGAGCTTGTTGTTCCTTCGCCTTCATATCACAAATATCATCATTACTATTCATTTTTCATATATTATACACTAGGACCCACATGTTCCGCTATTTAAACAATCTCGACAAGTTAACCCGTGGCCTCCATTTTAATCTTTTATTATCTTATCAAAGGAATACATACAATAGCTTGCATCTTAACTAGCTTGATAATGATTTTTACGAGCTAACAGGGTATCTTAAAGGGACATGAGCAATCTCACCAAGAAGATAAATGTGATTATATTAGACAATATCGTATATAAAATAATCAAAGATTCAATTTATTATCGAAAGTACAAACACTGCTGTACTTTGAGATGATATTTTTTGCACAAATTTTGGTTAATTGTCTTGTAAAACAACAGTTAAAAAATGTTTATATCCCGTTGATGGATTGATCGATTGGTCCCAAATTGTACATACAATCTGATTTGAGAACTCGCAACATGAATGTAAAGTCATATTATGTTGAATCGAAAGTGATTTTATTTACCAAACAGCGTGTTAGAGCCTGTTTAACTTGTAAGTCAATATATCTGTAATTCTATATGTTTACTTTAAAAACTCCAATTACAAAATGTCGTGTTATAATACCCTTGTTTACATATTCAAATATGTCAATGAAATGATTGTTATTTGCATGAATATGTAACGACGCTTTTAATCAATTGGACGGAAGTGTGAAAAATATATGAATTATAATTTGATTAGACAATGAATGAATTTAGGTAACTTAACGTTTCCGTTGATCTTTTGTGAACATATGAATTATGCCATTGTTGAAATTTACATTTTTGCACCAAAGAGATATAGAGGGACAAAGGTGACAAACACAATTCTTATTATAAAGTAAAAGCGGAAACTCAGTTGGAGTCTAGTGGTATGTCAAGTTCAGGTCGATCTGTTCTTTGAATAATTACGAGGGGCTTGGCGGACGAGTGGTCTCATGATAAAATAAATAACATGGAAAATTGAAAATGGAACAGAAAGGAATAGGTAAAACGTCTAGATGAAACTATGGCAGATTTTACATTGTTATATACGTGGCCAAAGCGACTGGGTGATAATTGTCTTTGACGTCGGCCTTTTCGCAGACTCTTCTTCGAATTTCAATTGTCAGGCGACGTTGTGTTGTATTTGTATGCAATTTGTTGTACTAACAGAAACAAACAGAACGTTTAGGAAAACTTTCCTTGTCAGCCCAAAGGGTTCTACCCTCAGTAAATGAGTACATCCAAGATACGTACCTTCGCGTATGCTACTATTAGAAGGTGCTACTTGGGTAATTCTGATACTACGTCTAAGATTATTAGCTCGAACTAAATGCTGAATACTGGCATCCCTAGCTTCTGCCCTTCCCAGTAAAAACTTATCTTGATCATCTGTTTCTTCTGTAGATTCTGTTGCAGCCTGTAAATAAAACCAGAATGTGTTTCCTCGGACATAAAACTATCCACAGACGATTCAAGTAGCTAACAAACCCTTGTAGAACTATTGTATTCAAAAGCTAAGTGGAAGATTAGATAAAGAGCTGACAGGTCTCGCTATAATAGTTTTAAAAAATAGATAATGTAATGGGAATATGATGAAAATATCAGTCAAATTACTTCACTCAGAACCGAGAAGTCGCAATTTTAATAACTATGTAGCCTCGATTGTCATTGTTACCGTTGTTAAGATAATAAACAATGTCTCGATTATCCATTTTTCCGGTTAATCATCAACGGCCCTTAACAATCGGACCTATCAGATAGCATCCAATTAAAAGTATATATTAAGAAAGACCTGCAATAGGCAGATTTAGCTTTTGCATAATGTATCGTTAATATAAACAATACAAAAAATTCAGCTCAGCATCTAATTTTCCGAAAAACTATTGCTACCAGTACAGTCTTAAAGAAACTTCGGTCTATGTTCAGCGAATCTGCTTTACATTAAGTGAACAACAGACTATTAAACCCTGCAAGCAATGAGTCCAGCCGACCGGAAATCTATAGGACACCGTAGGCCACAGAGATTGATTAACCCTTTTCTTAAATCTCACTAATACGTATGTTCCTGAAGCAACGAGCTCGACTTTTACAACAACTAGACGTTGCTAGACTGGTCTGTAATTCCCAAACTTCGTCATCTCTCTTTAACGCAGACATGGCGACCTCCACGGAAACCCTGACCGTGAACTTTGCGATCGATTATCACAGGTAGACATTTTAGCTGGAAAGCGCGAGACTTGGTAGTAGCCAATCGAAATTAGTGCCGAAATATGCATGGAAATACGTGAAGGGCTTGATAAAAGCGAGAAACGGGGTTTAACGTCCACTCCACACAAACTAGATCATTTCGGGACTAAAATATGATTCAATTTTATTTCAATAATTCGCTTGCGCGTAGGGGTCTTTAGCAGTAGGAAGAAACCGGAAGACCCGGAGAAAACCCACGAGATTGGACAGGCGACCCTACTCCTTGTTACGTACAACCGGGGAATCAAAACCACGACAGTTGACTCAATGACTACTGGGGGTCAGTAGTCAATCGAAATTAGTGCCGAAATATGCATGGAATTACGTGAAGGGCTTGATAAGATGTACGGAGTTAAAGCGAGATACGGGGGTTTAAGGTCCACTCGACACAAACTAAATCATTTTGTATCATTTAGGGGTCTTTAGCAGTGGAAGAAAACCGGAGCACCCGGAGAAAAACCCACGAGGTTGGAACGTTTTAGCAGAATAAAAGCTCCCTAATATTTACCTGAGTAAGCCCATATGGTGTATCACCAAGACTTAATCGCCTTTTACGACGAAACGATCTTCTGATCAACTCCAGTATGTTAGCTGCTTTTGTTTCAGAGTCAGCAGTCACTTGAATAATTCCTGGTGGTTGTGGTGCTGGAGGTGCTTCATCAGGACCAGATGGTACGTGTTTATCTTTGATACTTTGGTTAGCAAAGTCATCAGGTTTAGTCTTTTTGATGCTATCATTATTGTTATATCCATCGATCACAAAAACACTTCGATCATGTTTATCACACTTACCACCGTCTTCAACAAAACCAAAATTGTTGTACATCTGTAATTGTGGGTCATTGCTGGCGACGTGCTGAAAATATAGTCATAAACTTTTATTAGCGGTCACATACACATACACAAAGTACTTGTGAATTCCCTTAATTTTCTTCTCCAATCTGGCTAATGAAGACAGGCATACGCCATCAGTGTACTATGAGGCCAAGTTTGATAATGGAATGAAATAGAGTTTAACGTCCTACGGTTTCACACCGACTGGGAGAGTGAAGACGGACACACGCTATCACTGTACTAGGAGGCAAATTTACCGTCTCCTAATATTCGAATTCGGACTGCCAAGGTTATTTTACATGTATGTCTAATGTATACAGGACCTCCAGTTTTCCACCGTTTTCGTAACCTCTGAACGACTAGACCTTGTTCCTTGTCAAGCTGTCCAAGGCGAATCACCGGCATCAAATTGGGACCTCGTGGTTAGTAAGTCCGCGCCTCACTCACTGAATCACATGGGTTCTAGGTCCATTCATACTGACTGCGTCCAGAGGCGCATCGATAAGCAAAGTACATTTCGGTTTACGTCACAGAAATTTGTCAACTGGTATTATATTTTTAATGGAATGTTTCACGGAAGAAAAAACAATGCATGAAAGGTGTGGACGTGTGACGGTTAGTGCCATCGATATGTTCTACTACGTGTAAATACTGAAAACATATTGTGCAATACGATGTGCAAATACACTAAAGTCACCAAAAATAAAATCTTATCTTAGTAAATCATCTCAAAACTGAGCTAATGTATTATGTGAAATGAAATGAAATGGGGTTTAACGTCCTACTGTTCTGCTCCTAAACTGGGCTAATGAAGACGGGCATACGCCATACAGTGTGCTTTGAGGGAAATTTTGCCCGGGCAGCGGCGCTACGGTCTACTCTTATATCGAATTCCAACTGCCAAGGGATCTTTTACGTGCACTCCAATGCGTACACAGGACCATCAGAACGACTAGACAGCTGTCCTTGTCAGGCCCTCCGTCCTGCATCACTGACAAGGGGAAACCACGCCGGAAAATCAGGATGAACTTTCTCGGCCAATGCAGGGATCGAACACCCGACCTCCAAGCTAGCGATAATGTATTATGTAAAGACGAGGTTTTTAAGTTGTTGTACATACCGGTAATTGTTTTATCACACATTTTTGGAAGATAAAATATTGCAGTTGTCGGGTAAAAAATATAATCATTTTTTTTTTTATATCATCAATTTTAGCGGAAAAAAATTGAAAGCCAGTGTGAGCCCTGGTTACACCCAAATACATGTATTTCTTTAGTAATTGATTTGTAACTGACCAATGTTTTAGAAATGCACCGGAATAGCATTTCCTTGACAAAACAAAAGAGATATATTTCATGATATTGGTCTGACGCAACTCACTTGCTACTATAAATCGCTTTATCACGTTGCAATGGTTCCCGGTGTGGTGTAGAAATGTCAGAATGGCGACACATTATGTTAGAGGTGATTACATGGAAGGTGGTCGTGTATATCCGATGTAAACAATAGACCCGGTCGTGTTCCGTGGTTCAATAGTAAAGACGCCGAGTCACGTTTTTTTTTAAAAATCAAGAATCATGTGATAATTCGTAACCAGAAAATAATAAACTCACTGACTGATGCATTGTTATTTTCTAACAGATATGATTTTAATTATCTAGATTAAAATAATTATATACATCTACGTCCTTTTATTTAAATCCAAACCGTTATAAACGAAACCCCCAAAATTTATCGTTCTTCTCCGCTTGAAGTTAACCAATCGTGAACACTTGGTTCTTTTTATTTAAATTACTACAACCATTCCTTTTATACGGCCATATTTCATGTCGGGATATACTGTGGCCCGCACATCTGTTCGACCATTCGATTAACCGTCAAGTCTGTAAAACACTATATATGTCACAGTTTTACAGATTTATTTTTAAAGGCGGGACACTATCGCAATTCAGAGTTGCATTTCGACATTTTATAGATATTTTGCCCTCTGTCACTAACACCATAAATAGCTCTACAAGGAACTTTTTAAAAAAAAATTGTACATGCTAACAACATTTCGGTTGTACCTGTACTTCTATAGTCAAGAAATACAAACAACTGAAACAGTACACAATGAAATCAATATCTATCAGGTATCGTAGGCTTCTAAAATCCAAGTTCAGTCCATCGATCCATTTAGCTTCGGCAGTTGTGCTCAAAGTACTGTCTACTTATTCCTTCTACATCTTCTACCACGTCTAATAATTTAGGGACAACGTTTTCACACTTAGCCATTTTTTTGTCACATGTTATTGCATACTGGATCGCGTTTATCATTTCCTTTACTAACAAACCCAAAAACCTGACTTATTAAATAACTTAAACATTCCCTGTTTTTGGTATTATTTTTTTAAATACTAAAACCAACACAAGATTTCCCAATATGGAAATGTTTTAAAAACCTTTTAAGTTTTTTTTCATAACCGCTTTAATAGAATTATAATATAAGCTAATAATTACACATATATTATAAACATGCTGACATATTTCTTTTATAAAGTACTTTTTAAGTTTAATTTGAAACCAGCTGGATATTGTGTTTATTAACCAGAAATTATTCAGATAATCCTGCTTAAGTGGAGTTAATAAGTTGAAATAAAAAATGTTTCAAAACACATTAAAAGAATTGTCTTGCACCTAGGTGTTTTAAAAATAAAAGACCAGGTATTTATCACCCTGGATAAAAAAAAATCCACTGAAAGGCGAATGATATTTCCTACGTGTAATGCTTAGTATTATTCCCCTGTCGCTTTGTCGGGGGATAACCGTTGGAGACAAAATGTAAAATGTAGCGCCATGCGCTATAGTCTGATTCATAGTTTGGTTAATACATTTAAAAAAATAAACACTCCATGTTTTAAAAACCTGACATTCAATGATTCATGGTAGTGATGCACTAGTTTGCATTTTGCTGCAATCCCTACATAAACATTTTTTGATGGTTATGCATGGCGATCTGTTGTAACCAATACTCTTTACTGAAGTTATAAATAACTTGCAAAATATATTCACCCATGTATATAACTATTCTATGAAGTGTACTATAATAAAGAGTAATATCAGATGTTCTGGAAATAGTGTACATGTCCTACCCTGTGCACTACTTTATATTTCAGGGACCGAAGCTACGTGGTATAATGTAACCACTGGACAATACATCCAGAAGACTTTCCAGTAAAGTGAATTTAGTACAAATACAAGAGAATTGTTATTGGATGTTCTATTTCAGGGCATTATATTGTGCAATTGTTTCGTTTAAGTATAATAACATCACGAACATCGCTGACACTGAGTCGTGTATTACAATGTTAAAGAATGTTTAGTATACACAATTAAATTATAAACGATATTCAAATACCGGAACATGTTAGAAATAACACTTCATTTTGCGTGTTTAACTCTTTAATGTCCACGAATCAACTTCTTTTAATAAACTTCAAAGTCGACCCTAACATAAATATTTATTGTACTAACTTAATGTTGTAAACGTGTTGCTCACAATGTTTTATAAACTGGTCTCTTATAGTGTATTGCGAAATAATATTTCCAGCATCCTCCTCTAGGAGCGGTTTAAGATTGATTGGGGAACGGCGGCCAGGAGAGTATATCTATAATCCCTCCCTTTATCTGACAATAAAAAAGAATTAGTACATAATCGACCCTAAAGTGTAACTAAATAGATATTTTGAAATTCACATTTGAAATCACTTTTCGAAAATACCAATGCTGTTTTAAAAAACCCATATTCCCGAATGGTTAACATAGCTTATACTGAGCGCAGAACCAATGGGTGGACCCCAGGAAGGTATCTACATCCCGAAACAAATAAAACATATCTCGTTTAAACCAATTGTCCCAAAATCCAAAGAGGCCAGGCCTGTCAACAGTGCATTTACAGTATAGTATTGTAACAGTATAATTTACTTGTTTTTAAGTGCCCGTCTTCATTAGCCCAGTCGGTGTTGAAAAGTAGGACGTTAAATTTCAATTTAATGATAAAATATATTGGGTCAGTTTTGTGTCGTTTTATTAATTATGTGAACACGTAAAATTTCAATTCTTGAGCTAATCTTTAATGATAAAATAAAATATACTGGGTTAGATTTGAGGTGTTTTATTATTTATGTGAACACTGTTCACATTCATCTCTCTCTCTCTCTCCCTCTCTCTCTCTCTCTCTCTCTCTAACCCTAGTATTTATTTTATTTTTTTTAACCACCGAGGATATCTCCTTTTTTTATCAAACCCAAACCGTTGTTGACATACTGAAGATATTTTTGCTTGAAACACTAAAATAGAATTAATCAACATGTCCTGATTTCCTCATTCTTACGTCTAGTCGTGGGACGTACAGATCAAATCGACACGTTTATTAACTTCAGAAAAAACGAAAATAGCTGGTTAAGAATTTTTTCGCGGATGTAAGAAACTTAGATAAGTTGTGGGTCAGGTTATAAAAGTGATAAAGCAATAAAGTTATTAAACGTGTAGTATTTCTTCTTTTTTTTTAAAAAAATCAAGCAAAGGTTTGCAGAATCAATGAATATAATAATATGCAAGTCAGAATAAATTGTCTTTATGAATGATATGTTAATTATACACATTAATAAAGAAATTCTAACCGTTTAAACTGCAGTTACATGCAAATCTCCCTTGTTTACGCCTCTTTCTGAACGCAAGCGTCATTTTAATCTAAAAAATTGAATTTTCAAGTGTTGTATTTAGGAAATGTGCGAGTTTTGTTGGATTGGATCAAGTAGGCTGCATAAGGCTATAATATAATTTGTTTGCAAAGCGTCGATTTTAACATTAGTTGAGGGCAAAACTTTTCTTAGGGAGGGTTCTGATCTGCAATTAGCTGTTATGTTCAAATAAATCATAAAATATCAAAGATGAATTATACATAAATTTATGGTGTTTAGATTAAAGCAACGTCATTTATGGATCAAAAAAATATACCCCGGTGACCTATGCAACTACACTAGATGTATTACACTCCAAAAATGTATATATGTTTGTAACTCACTGCCTGTACATATGTCACCATTGTATTGTAAACATAAGATTTAACTATTTTATATGTTTGGAGAGAACTTATATAGACCTTTGCCTGTTGTTCAAACCAATTCAGTTTATTGAATACAGTATTGTTTAAACTATAAACTAGATGTACTGCGTTAGATATGCTCCTTTCTGATTAATAACAACATCAATATTTTAGAAGTCGAAATAATTAAAGCACCTCGAATAGATAATAAATTATTTCAAGTCATTTTTCAGACTGTCTACAGTACATACATTTATTTAACAGAACAACTATAATTCCCTACGTAGGAACCCGATGGCCTTAAATATCCAGTTTACTTGTCAGCCTACGTCGAGATTAGTATCTATTGAATAATTAGTACACTTTAATGGAGATAATGAAGTTGAAGATGAAATGGAGGTTGTTATAAAATGTACATACCTCTGTTAGAGGGGGTTGAGGTAGATCTGTAGATTCTTTATTTCCCATGGTAATCCGATTGATTCAACGGTGATTACTGAATAATATAATAGTTATAACTATTCAACTATGAGGATTACTTCAATAAATTACTTAAATGATTACTTTTCAATATCAATCATTATTACTCAATAACACAGTAAAAACAATGAAATACTAAATAGTACTGATCTGCTTAAGTAATAATAGTTATTGCTCAATATTTAAGATCACTAAATAATAATTACTCGATATGCAGAAAATTACTAAAACATATTACGAAATTACCAAAACATTTGAGATATTACTAAAACTTGTTACTTACTGAAAGACGTTAGAATACTTTTGAGAGAAAAATTATCCTTTCTGTCTTACAGATACTTCAATGTGCTTACTAATTTATTACAGTGTTAATTCTAACATTACATAATAGAATAACATAACAATGTCGTATGTTAATTAGGAAATAATTAAACTTTCCTTCGAAAGGATATTAAACACATACACTATACTCTCAACAAATTATTAATTCTATCTTAGAATAATGCAAAGATGTTTTTCTAACAATAGTTTGAAAGATAATTAGACCGCCAAAAATATTGTTAAACTATACAAACATACTCACTATACAAAATGTTAATTATATCCTCGCTATATAATTTAATATAATAATAAATAAAGTCTATCAACACAATAAATCAAATTAATATTCTAAACACAATAGAACAAAGTAAAATTTGTGGTCTGGGTTAAATAGAAAATTACAGTAAATTATATACTCACCTACAAAAAAAATAAACAAACTGTTTTTTAAAGCTATCTCGCCAACATCAACTGTCGCGTTGTGAACTTTCAATAAATAATTTTAAAAATGAAATAATTAATTAGCAGTTTGTAGTTTATTAAATTGTAATCAGTGATCACGTGACTTCAGAAGTTAAAAAAAATGATAAAAGGAAATATGACAGAGCACGATCGTTGCTATTGTTGGGTTGACCCCAATACGTGATTACCTTAGGTTAAAACGATTTGTACATACCCTGTAGAATATTATATGGACATTGTTCTAGGGATTGACTTGTGTGTATTACCTGTGTAATTCTCCCCTCCTTTATCATATTTCATATTAATATAAAATAACAAGTCCTCGCGATCCATTGTTATAAATTCCCTAAAATTGTTTTCTAGTCACAAGACTAATAGTTTTGTTAGCTAACATGCGTTTTAAATTTTTCTTCAACATTTTAACATCTTCATAATGTCAAGACAGAACGGCATACTCCCTGAGGGCTTAGCTGCATTAGTTAACTTTGTCGTATTAGTAATGCAGTATGCTAAAGACACGATAAAGCTCGATTTTTACTTTTTAAAGATGCATTATCCAAGAGCTAAATCTGCATGTTGTATGTCTCTTTCTAGGTTCAAATTTAACTTTGTCGTATTAGTAATGTAGTATGCTAAGTACACGGTAAAGCTCGAGTTTCACCTTTTAAAGATACATTATCGTATGTATATTTCTAGTTTCAAATTTGATTTAAATTATTATTTAGACATTTATTCACAATACCAGCCCATAATCACCTCTCTAGACCATCAGATGGTCGGGATATTGAATGGAGTGAACATCCGCGTCATTTTAATGCTAAAATGGATAATCAAGACTTATTATCGCAGTGGTCCTTGACAATCGAGACTATAATTTTGTCAAACCTTCATTCATTTCTCATTGTCTCTTTCTGAACAAGTATAGCACTTTGTTTAATCGTTGCGAGGTTTTGTCCCGAAATGACCTAGTTTGTGTCGAGTGGACGTTAAACACCTCTCTCTCTCTCTCTCTCTCTCTCTCTCCCTACGGAGCCATCGTGGCTCCAAAATAGACGAGCGGCATTATTTTGTGCAACCCCAGCATGATAGAGATTGAACATTCTTATTCTCAATAACTACCATCCAAAATGGTGTTTGTTTTTAGCAAACAAATTTTAGCAGCAAAATGCCAACTTGGAAATTGTGCACATTCCTTTCATGGAACATAAGACAAATACAAGGACAACAGCATAAACAAAACATGGACACAACAACCGATCAGTGAACTATCAAATCTACTGAACTAACCTATTTCTATTTAATAATAATGTAAAATTGCATTTATAGAGCACCTGACATTAAACAATGATGCATTGCTGCCCATGGGCTAATTATTCACGCAACTGAACCCCATCATCATAAAGATTTTGTGCAACATGTAAGTGCGTTTACTCAACATTATAAATACATGTATTGTGTTTAACATATATTACACTGTAAGTGCATTTATGCAACCCAACCTCCGGGATAACAAAGATTTTGTAACACAAACAACACAGTAAGTGCAGTTATGCACTTAAACCTCCAGCATGACAAAGACTTTGTGTAACACACACCACTATAAAATATACTAACAGTAGGACGATGAATCCCATTTCATTTCATTTAAAATATACTAAACAGTAAGTGTGTTTATTCATGCAACTGAACTTCTACCATAATGAAGATTTTGTTTAAACATACATTATGCAATGTGGCATTAGGTAAGATTAGATAAAGAGTTGACAGTTCTCGCTATAATGAAAAAAGAATGTTTTAAAAATGTCTCTTAAATTACGTCACTCTGAGCCAAGGAACCGGCGATATAATTATAGGCTAGCCTCGATTGTCATTAATACCGTTGTTACGATTATACGCAAAGTCTCGATTATCCTGTTTTACCGTGACCGCACCCAGCACAAAACGTACTTGAATCCTCTAAATATCGCAGGCATCCGATGGCATCTAGAGTTGATTATGATCTTGGTGAATTAATTAATGTCTAATTAATAAGTAAGATAACATTTCCGGACTAAAAAAAAAACCCGTGGTAGGCAGATTTAGCGCTTGCATAATGTTTAACTTATTTCAGAAGAAAGTTGATGGCTGACTTATTTCTTGCAAACTCTAAGGTAGTAAAGAATATAAACAACATTTCATCAAACGATTTCATCCTCATAAATTGCGCAAAGGCAATAACTCCCACTTTCTGGCTCAGTCCTTCGGCCCGCATGATATCTGAGTATATATTCCAATACGTTGGAAATTATGAACACCAAAGTTTTATTAGTTTCTATTTATTCCTCACGGCCATTTGTAATTATCTCTGTTTATTAAGATACTGTTAATTTACAAAAACGGATACCGTGAACGATTCAGAGTGTTTCGTAACATTTAGAATATTATGCAACATTATGCAACAGTTGATCATTATGTTATAAATAGACATTTGTCGATAACCTTGTTGGGTCATGAATATTCATGAAGATTTACTTTACATCATAGTAATAATTATGTAATCAGATTAATTTACATTTCAACTGAAAGTCGCTGATTATCATTTGCATTCTTCGGAAAATATGAAATTTTTGCGGCTTAATCCATGCTATTGATGGATTGACTTGTTTTGACCATATCCCGTTTAATACGTCTACAGTGGATGCCAAATGTTGACAAATTTTCAAGTCATCATATCTTTGTAAATACTGAACGGAATTGAACGATGTTCGAATTAATATGTCTTTTAGAAGTTAAGCGTTCACAGTATTGTAGTTTGTAAAGGATTCAAAATTCACCAAAAGGTTTTACAATATGATGTTATTTAGTTCACTTTGTTTTCTTTCATGTTACGTTCCATATTCATATCTTAACGGCCTTAAATTAAATTAGCTAAGTCTCTAACTCAATACCATCCAAAGTCTTCGACATTGAAACACGAACTATTTGTCAATTTAAATCAACAATGATGTTGTTATCTTAGCGGGAAAAGATGAGCTTCTGATATCCAATATTTAAGACAAAATACATATTTTACCATTGGTACACGAATCGTGTACCATAATGCTTTTCAGCGTCATTTGTAACAAGGGACTTGAAGAACGATGATGACATATTCTTATCTGGAGAGCATGCGCGCAATAAATACCTTCGGTGTAGACTGGAATAACCAGACGCTAGAGATCGCCATTCGATTGAGATTCCTAGTGTATTTTGCCGAACATAACTGGTTAGAAACTACATTAAAACAGAAACAATTGAATGTAAATCAGTTTATGTACATTCATATTACATTATTATATATGTTGCGGCCCGTTTGTGTCAATTTCTAGTTCCCAAATATTAGCGATTTAGCTCCTTTAAACCTTAAAGTTTAAACGCGATGTAAAATATATGAGTACTTTAAAGTAGGTAAATTACTTCTATTAAGGTTAAAATAAACTACTGGGATGATTAATGGTGGGACAAAATCTATAATATAAATATCACTGAAATTTCTTTTCGAAACATTAAGCGGAAGCCAGTTTGTGTACTAGTTTCGTTTTTGGCTTAAACTGTCGACAGTGTAACCGAAAGTCAGTTACATTTCAACACTAGGTCTATTTGTTGAACTCTAATTTAAAATGTAGACATATACCCGCTTCACAAAGCAAATCATTTCATCAATATTAATTAGACGGAAACACAAATCGAAGAGGACAGTTCTAGTCTTTTTTTTTGCTTTCATAACGCTGCCTAGAAAAGCTGTTCGGGTGGGACGGAAGAATTATACTCTTCAAAAAAAGTAGGGGATATTGAAATGCAAATACCTATGCAGGTTGTGATATGATAAATAGTCATGAACACTTGACATGCTTTGAGAGTATGTTCACAGATGAAGAACTTATCGCCCCAATAGAACCACTGAGCTGCATGTGCGATACGCAATGTGGGAGGGTTCATTGTCAAATTTGACACTTCAAGGAAGGGTTGATGAAAACTGCCGCTTGCTGGTTTATCCTATCCATGTTTGCTTTCCTATCGGTTCTTGCATAAGATTTACTGTTTAGCGTATCTTTGCTTTAATGTGTTATGTTTAATTTGATCGGGAGAAATGTTCGTCGACGTCAACGTCAACCGACAACACTGCAAGAATTGGCCGTGGCACTGCAAAAGGAGTGGGTCAGATTGCACCAAATCGTGATTGGACGGTTGATTAGGAGCATGCCACGACGAATTGCTGAATGTTTGAGGATTGGTGGAGCAATTACGCATTATTAAAGTTGCAATTGCAAATTTTCAAGTTATATTTTTAAAATGTATTAAAATAAAGCCTTAAAATAGATGGTATCCATAAACAGTCCTACCTTGTTAAAGAATAATCCTATTAATCCTATAATTCGCTATTGCCAGCTGAGAAATTGGCAAAAATATCATTTTTAACTTCAAATTCCAACGTTTGAAAATGGCTGCCCCATGTTGTCAATAGCAAAACAGGGGAGGTTATTGTGTTGTTATTTCCTGTGTCATAGATTTTTAAGGGTGGGAAATAATGCCCATGGTCGTATAATAGTGATTTGATAACCTATTGAGCAAAAGACATAGAAATAATTATGTTTTGACTTTCTTAGAAAATTTGAAATTCTCGCTTTAAGATAAAAATCAAAAAAGTCCATTTTCACTTTTGACAGTGTATCTCTTTGCGAGTGAAATGGGGCCGTCAGATAAGCCGCCCATATGAACTGTTTATGTTCATGTGTAGGCAATTCGCCTGTTATTAACATTCACTGGTTACCTCTAATAAACAGAGCAGTGCATTTCCGCATTTTTGTATTGTTTCTGAATATCCCCTACTTGTTTTGAAGTGTATATCTTCAAATTGTTGTTGTTGTAAAAGATTATTTGGAATTCGAAACCGAGTAGGCGAAAACTTAGCTGTACAGACAAAATTCATCCCCTGGTATTGAATATAGAAATACAAAAATACAGACTACTATTTTTTTAAATCCCCAGTTAAAGTATTGGCGATACTTTAACCCCCCCCCCTCCCCCGTGTTGTTCGACTCCATTGC